CTATCACAGTTATGCCATTGTCTACCAATTCTCCAAACATATAACATTAGTATACATGTACATTTAGGAATTGATGATTGTCAATTGGACAGTAACCTAACAACACAATCACAAAACAAATATCTAGAGGTCAACATTTTCAGTATACAACAACAAACAGGTGTTTATACAGTATGTCCAGTTCTTGCTTGTCATGGGTCTACAACAGTTTGTCAATTAATTGAACACAGACTATCACAAATTCAATTGACACCCATTACCAAATAACAAAAATAGAATACTTTAGGAAATTAGTGATAGCCAGTTTCCAAGGAACCACTTATAAGTCAATCATATTTGGTATGCAGCTTCATTAGCATCTGCAAATCCCTTTTTAGTGGAGATTATGTAGACCCTTACCTCAGTCATGGTCTGTTTACTTCTATATTTGTGCATAGCTTACAGGATTAAGTTTTTGGTTAGACCAATTATAGCAAAGCTAGACAGGAAATATCTATGATAAGCCAATAATATTTCATTTTCATCAGGACACCAATTAAGGAAGTTATTAAGCTCTAAATGCACTGAAATGGTCCATTTACTTTGGAATTTCTACATAATGAAATTTGTTTTGGTTGGTTTAAACAGGAAGCACTAAATAAATTATAAAATAAAAAAAACTAGTGTAAATCTAACCCGAATAATTCAGTCCCACCCCGTGATCGACTCTCCCACTTGCGAGGGCCTGAATTCTTTATACAATAAAAACGCGTCACGAATCGGAGGATTTTGATTGGTGCCCTCTGGGTGAGAGAGCCAATCAGCTAATAGCTCAATGTTATCGAGATAGGTAAATCCCGAGCTAATTCCGAATGATTATTTGACGATTTTTTATTGACAAGGCCTTCAGGCGTTAATGTAGCCATCGTAGAGCAGTGGAATATAACGACTGAATTATTCGGGTTAGTGTAAATCAGTAAATTAACATCATATTTTTATACGACCGCAAAAAAATTTTTTGGATCGTATAATGGTAAGATGTCGTCGTCTGCGTCGTCGTCCGAAGACACATTGGTTTCCGGACAATAACTTTAGTTTAATGAATGGATCTCCATGAAATTTTTTAAGAAGGTTCAATACCACAAAAGGAAGGTTGGGATTGATTTTGGGGATGATGGTCCCAACCGTTTAGGAATTAGGGGCCCAAAAGGGGCCCAAAACAAGCATTTATCTAGTTTCAGGATAATGACTTGTGTATAAGTATTTCCATTGCTCTGAAATTGTACGACAATGTTTAATACCACAAGTAGAAGGTTGGGATTAATTTTGGGGATGATGGTCCCAACCGTTTAGGAATTAAGGGTCAAAAAGGGGCCAAAAACAAGCATTTTTCTAGTTTCCAGACAATCACTTGTGTGTAAGTGTATGGATCTCTCTGACATTGTACCACAAGGTTCCATATCACAAAGGGAAGGCTAGGATTGAGTTTGGGGTTAATTGCCCAAATATGTAGGAATTAGGGGCCAATAAAGGGCCAAAAACAAGCATTTTTCTAGTTTCCAGACAATAACTTGTGTTTAAGTGTATGGATCTCTCTGAAATTGTACTACAAGGTTCCATACTACAAAGGAAAGGCTGGGATCGAGTTTTGGGGTTATTGCTCCAAGGAGGGTTTCAAAAAGTTGGGGGGGGGGGGGGGGGGGGGGTTTCCAATTTTTTTTAGAGGATTCATATTTTTTTTCAAAATTTTTCAGATTTTGAATTTTTGAAAAGTTTCAAGAAGAAATCTTCAATTGCACAGTATTGCGCAATAGATTTGTAAGATCTTTGACCACATTTTTATTGTGTCAGAAATCTATATTATGTCAAAAATTTGATCACAATCCAAATTCAGACAGTATCAAGCTTGAATATTGTGTCCAAATTTGTACCAACTGTTCAGGGTTCGACCTCTGCAGTCGTATCAGGCTGCGCTCAGCAAAGCATTTTATTGTTATATGAAATAAGGAGTATCTTTAAGGGGTATACCTCAATGAGACAGCAACCCAATGATACAAAAAGCAATAATACATCTCGAGGTTAATATACCGTCTTCAACAGTAAACAGGACTGATGTATTATATCATGTCAAGCTCTTAAAGGTTGCAAAAATTTTGAAAGATTTAAATTTAGACTTCCTATAAAAATTGTGAAAGGACGTGCCTATGGAATAGGTCACATTTTCTAGCTTGTGAATAGGTGGGGAAAACTTATCAGAAATTTATGATAAGGTCAATAATGTTCCTATTACTTGTTATATGAAAAGCTCTGTAATTTTTTTCACAGCCAAATGTCTCGCTGTAAGTAAACATTACATAAGAAATCTGAGCTCTGAACAAAGGTGATATAATAATGTGATTCTCAAAAATATAGGAAAAGGTTACATTTTTACCTATGCAATATATGAAAAGGTATACATTTTAAAATTTTAAATTACATGAAAAGGGTGGGTTAACAGAATCCCAGCGGTACCCCCTATCAATTATGTATTGAAGTGCCACATGTTTAATGGCTTTTTGTATCATTTTGTTGCTGACTCATTGATGTATATTGAAGTACTCATTACTGGGTAGCAGTATGTTAGATTACAAATGTAACCAGACACAAGCAAAACAATACTGCATCAAAGAAATCACAGAAACTGAAAGCAAGCTCTAAACCTGCTGATATGACATGCAAATATTGAAGATTGTTTCACTCAGCTACTGATTCTTTGACTTTGAAGATTTTGCATTTTGTAAACAGAGAGAGCCTCTGTGGCTGAGTGGTTTAAGTAGTTCAACTACTGTATCACTAGTCTGTCAACTAATATGTAAGTTCAAACCCCACATGTGGCAGGTGTGTTCAACTCCAATCTTAATTGACTAGGATTGTCAGTTTTCCTGCTGAAGGTCCTGGTCTCTTCGTGCACTGTGGCCTCCTCCACCAATGAAAACTGGCTGCTTAGAAATAGCCTATAGTGCTGAAAGTGGTGTAAAACACCAACAATCAGTTGATCAACATTGGTAAAGGTACATAAGAAATCATCATTCTTTCAGATGATGACTTCTATTTATAAAAAAACCTATTTGCCAGCTAAAAGATATGTACACAACTTTTTTTACCTATACACACTATTGTGGTAATAAACAAATGATGTATAGTATGTATTAATATGCTTAAATCTCTACATATTCAAAAGGGTTCAATTTGTTAAGAATATAGATTGACAAAAATTTAAGATGATAATTTTGCCAAAAGTACGAAGGCAATGAAAATGACTCTGTTATTGCTGACAGACATAAATATTGTTTTTATTTCTTAAGAGATATTCAGCTTATTTGATAGAAATGATTGTTCATTGTGACTTGAAGGAAAAGAGAGTCCTTTATATCTGTAGAATAATATCAAACTTTTTGGATCACTTGGCCCAAAGGGCAATGTGAGCTATTACCTACACTTGGCATACATTGTGATAATTTTTTTTTTAAATCTCTGCTGAAACTGGATCAAATGTTACCAAACATTACCTGAATGTTCCTTGGGGAATTTAGTTTAAATTTTGTATCTAGGGATTTCATCCATCAACAAACATGGCCACTGTTTCTAGGTATAAATTGCAGTTTATGGCTGTGTCTAAAAAAATTCACAGATTTGGTTATCTTGAAAACTGTTATAGATAGATACTTTAAAAGGTAAAAATGATGAGAACAATAAGATCTACAAATAGGTCATCATGGCCCAAATCATCAGTTAACATCTTATAGGAGTTATTGCCATTGAAAGATGATTTACCAATTTTTGCAGAAACTATAATAGATAGAGAGGAATTGTAAATAGCAAAATGTTTAACAAAATAAGATCTACAAAAAAAAACAATGCTGAAGTAGTCAACTGATTCATTATAGGAGTTATTGCCCTTGAAAGATGATTTTTGTTTACCCATTTTTGAATGAAACTATAATACATACAGGGAAACTGTAAACTTCCAAAATGTTAAAGACTTGTACATCTGATATTTTATAGGCAGTTGTATTAGCATTGGCACATCTCATTTCCATGAAGATTATTTTGCCAAGCCCCCTTAGCCGTGGTACATTGACTTTGAACTTTTCCATAATTCAGATGTTGAAATGTTGCCATTTAAATTTCAACATTTTTATTATATGGAAATTACACCATGTATATTTTATAAATCTTGAGGCCCAGAAACCTCGTTAGCATTGTAGGTCTCTGGTAGTCTTTTGTACAAAAGGAGAAGGTCCGGTAAGGGATAATTTTGGCCTAATCTGAAGAAAGATTTTTTTTACATTTTTTAAACACTTAAGTGTCTACTACAATCGATTCAATTAGTTTATGTCAAAGATTTGAACTGATTTGGTCAGTAAAGACGCTCAAATCGAAGCTTAAATATGAAAAATCTATATCAAATATGCCATAAAACGTCACTTTTTAGATGGTTTTTGTCTAAAATGGAAGTGGCCGCATTCGTGTTCAGTCTCAACATTTATATATGTTATGCATTATCATTAAATACAACACATATATCTAAATATTAAGACTGAACACAAGTGTGGCCACTTCCATTTTAAACAAAAAACGTCTTAAAATTAGCACAAATAACAGGCTAAAATTGTGCAGATTTCATTATTTTTGCATAAAATAATGATGCTAGTACCTGATGCATGTCCATTGTATTGTCAAAAACAGCCCATATTTATGTAACAAAAGTATTCTACTTTCCAATAAATAGCTAAATTTAACATGTTTAACAACTCTGTAAAAACGCTATATTTCGGTGCCAAAAAGGGGTCTTACCGGGCCTACTCCTTTGTCAATTATGACACTACAATGTCAGAAATGAATAAGGAGCACTCCAGTTTACTAGTCTAAGTCAAAATGTTGATAGTTATTTCTTCTTAATGTTTTCAGAAGTAATACATAAAAATCAGTTCTGTTAACCTATGCCAAGTAGAACTTGATTAATTTTGCTTTTTCTTTAGGATGTAGGTTACCAGCATGGTAAAGCATTACTAAATGGATGGATTAAAGGTGGATTGGTTGATGAATTATTCAGACCTAAACCAGGTCATAGAAAAGCTTTCAAAGATCAACCACAAATGAAGAGGGTACCGGTTAGTACAAAATATTTGCCAAAAAGGCTTTGAAAGAGCATATTCACTGAATTGGGTAAACAAAAATGAGCAGTATGCTCTAAAAAGGGTCAGTGAGAAAGAGCAGTATCCACTAAATAGGATCAATGCAAAAGAGCAGTATGCTCTAAATAGGGTCATTGAGAAAGAGCAGTATCTGCTAAATAGGATCAATGAGAAAGAGCTGTATCCACTTGATAGGGTCAATGAGAAAAGAATATATACCATCTAAAAGAAAAATATTGATAATTTAAAAAAATAAATTTTGAAAGATTTTTATAGCATAATTACCACTAAAAAGGGTCAATGAGAAAAGAGCATTATACACTAAATAGGGTTAAATAGAAAAAAGCAGGATCCACTAAATAAAGTCAGTGAGAAATGGTAGTATCCACTAATTAGAGTCAATGAGAAAAGAGCAGTATCCAATAAATAGGGTCATTGAGAAAAGAGCAGTAGCCAATAAATAGGGTCAATGAGAAAGAGCTCTATCTGCTCAATTAAGGGTCAATGAGAAAGAACAGTATCTACTATAGAGGGTCAATGAGAAAGAACAGTATCCACTAAATGGGCTCATTGAGAAAGAACAGTATCCACTAAATAGGCTCAATGAGAAGAAAGCAGTATGCTCTAAATAGGCACAATGAGAAGAGAGCAGTATGCTCTAAATAGGCACAATGAGAAGAGAGCAGTATCACCTAAATAGGGTTAATGAGAAAGAGCATTATCCACTAAACAGGGTCAGTGAGAAAGAACAGTTTCTACTAAATAGGCTCAATGAGAAAAGAGCAGTCTCCACTAATTAGGGTCAATGAGAAAGAACAGAATCCACAAAATAGGGACAATAAGGAAGAACATGGTTAACAATGACATCACAATGCTATAAAAATCTTTCAAAATTTTTTTTTGAAAATTATCAATATTTTTCTATTATATGGTATATATTCATTAACCTGTGTAAATGAAATTATGTCTCTTTATATTTCTTTGTATTTGGACCAAAATAAACATATTTACATTTGTTTGCAAATTTGTCCACAATTACTTAAAAGTCAAACATGTGCCCGTAAAATTTTGTGTCACAGTTTAAAACATTTGACGTCATAATTGAAGAGTGATTGTTGTACAACTCCAGAAGTATATTCAGAAACAGATCTACGGTCATGTAAAGCAAATTCAGCTTAATACCCAAAAGTGTTAATACATCTATATGTTATGTAAATTTTACATTTCATATAGCATAGTTTCTAAACAGGGATTACACAATGAAAAGATGTTACATTTTGTATGACCAGATATAAGGCAGTTATATCTTCAGCTACAAGATTATTAAGTTTAATGATTTCTGTTAATTTCAGACAATGGCACAGCCTTCACTTGCTAAGTTTACAGACCTTGCTGAGTTAGTATCTAAAATAGAAGAGCCTAGTCCTTCTTCTAATGTCTCACAGAGTAGCTTTGACACCGATGATGGTAAGTCCTCCTTCTAATGTCTCACAGAGTAGCTTTGATATTGATGATGGTAAGTCCTATTGTCTCACAGAGTAGCTTTAACACGATGATGTCTCACATAGTGGCTTTGATACCGATGATGGTAAGTCTTTCTTCTTTCTTCTAATGTCTCACAGAGTAGCATTGATACTGATGATGGTGAGTCCTTCTTCTAATGTCTTGCAGAGTAGCTTTGACACCCATGATGGTAAGTCATTCTTTTAATGTCTCACAGAGTAGCTTTGATACTAATGATGGTAAGTCCTTCTTCTAATGTCTCACAGAGTAGCTTTGCTACCGATAATGGTAAGTTAGTTCTATGGTAAAAATTATTGGGGGAAAAAGTGTAAGATTTCAATGTTGTAAGAAATGGAACTTTTTTATCAAAGTATTTTAAATCTCTCTGTAAATCTTATGAATATGCGTGAAATGTTTGCCACTGGAAATTAAGCAAGCAATTATCAATCAAGTAATCAAGCAGTCAGCCCATATAGTAGTAATGTTGTTATGTAATACCTTAGTTGTAATTAATTTCTCTTCAGAAATGAATGAAGTAATGTTTAACGATGGTAATGAAGAAGATGATGATGATGACGAATATGAAGATGAAGACGATGACGATGATGATGATGATGATGACATTGATATTGAGGATGTAATTAATGCTGATATTATAGAGGAAAAAGAGGATGATCTGAGTGGAGATGACAACAGAGGATTAAGTGTTGGAATCAGTAAAGTAAGTTCATATTACATAGTGTCACTAGTTGGCACAAGGGTTATTGTATCTAGTTGATATCCATTTTGATTACAAAAGGGCAAAAAGTTTGTTTTAAAAAACATTGGATAAATCTACACAGCTACTTTAGTACAAGTAATCTTGATGTACAGTTCTAAAGATGCATATCAAATGATGTACATCTGTAAATCTGTATATCAACTTACAGCTGTAAAGCTGTATATAAACTTTACATCTGTAAAGTTGTATATAAACTGTACAGCTGTAAAGCTGTATATAAACTGTACATCTGTAAAGCTGTATATATACAGTTTTACAGCTGTACAGTTTATATACAGCTTAACAGATGTACAGTTTATATACGGCTTTACAGATGTACTTTATATACAGCTTTACAGCTGTACAGTTTATATACAGCTTTACAGATGTACATTTGATATGCATCTTTAGAACTGTACCTCAAGATTACTTGTACTAAAGTAGCTGTGTAACAAACCAGTTGGTATGGGTAGCTGTTGAAAGTCAATCTTGATCACTAATGACTGGCAGAGTTGTCATTATTGTAGTTATTGCCCTTGAATGACAATTTTTACACATTTTTTGGTTTGAGCAAAAACTATAGTAGATAGAGAAACTGAAAACAGAAAAAAATATCAGCAATACAAGATGAACAAAAAAGAGATCTTAGTCATGAATTATATACTAGTCTTTAGTGTTGAGAATCCACAAAGATGAAGGTTAGCAACATAGTCTCTTTGGAGCCTTTAGTTGTCTTTTACCAGTTCTCAGTATATATCTAAATTTAAGGCTGCACACATTGTCATAGATGTTACCACTTACTGTGGAAGTACTTTTCTTAGTGGGTATCAATTGTTGCGGTATGTGAAAACATTATTTGTTGTTGAGGTTTTTAATTTTTGGTTTTTAGATGAACACATTTAGACTGTATGGAAAATATGTCAATATAATGTAAATATTATTTGTCAGTAGAGGGAACCACAAAATCCATGAACAAAAATGTTGTAATAGTACTCACTGAAAATTAGTGTTTTATCCCATTTACTCTTATAACAATGAAATTTTTATTGCATAATGGGAAAAACATTTATTAAGAAACCAGATAACCATAGCTTATATCCAATACACATTACTTTTAACTTTATAGATTTTAGTAAACTTGAGAAAAAGTTGGTTGATTTTATTTATATATTTTTCAGTCTGATGGATCCCTGAGACTCAGATTAGGAAAATCATCTGACCAATCAGTTTAGTTTATATCAGATGTGGATAGATCATCTGACCAATCAAAAACAGATATCAGATGTAGACTTATTATCTGACCAATCATTAAAGAAGATATGAGATGTGGACAAGAAATACTGACATGTAATACTTCTTGTGTTTTAGTTATGAAATATTTATATTCTTAAAAAGTAAAGGTTATTTTTTATCAAAATGCACTTATGTTTTCAATTACAAAGCATCGTACAGTCAAAATCTATTTTAAGTTTTAACTATTTTTCTTGGCAGTTTTTGTCACTGACTTAGGACATTATTAACATAGCTATATATTTAGTATAGAACATTATAGATGGTAAAAGTGGTTTCCCAACACCCCCCAAAAAAACAAACTTGAAACATTCAAAAGTACTATTTTTAGGCTGTTTCATTTTTAAAAGTGTTAAATGAAAATATCTATATAGCAATGAAAAAAGTGGATTGTTTAAGGGAAAACAATTTTAAAATCCACACATTTTTTATGGTTAGAAATGATAATTCAACATTTGATTTGTTTGTTAAAACCTATTTAAGCCAGTATATGAACTTGAATTATTGTCATGTAAAATAAATTGTTATGATGACCAATGTGTTATATATAGATATGTAACAAATAACTTGATTTGAAGTGTGGGTTAGTTTACTTAACATTCAAACAATACACATGTTACTGGGAACAGCCACATGACTACATCCTCATGATACCAAATTTTCAATAAATTGCTCTGTTTGTATTTTCAAAATTGTTTTGGCATTTTTTATATATTTTCCTTCTGGTAGTGTTTTAATAAGTCTTTCTAAACATGAGTGTTTTTTTAATTCAAATTACCGGAGTATTTTTGAGTTAAATATGTATTTTCATAACATTTTTTTTTATTATGAGAAAGAGGTCACATGAATTTGCAAAATGTAAAAATTGAATACAATGACCTCAAAGAGAACTTTTTATCAATCAAGTTCAAACTTTATCAAAATGATAACAATAAAATGCAGTATCAATACAAATACTTTTGTATCTTTAATGCACAAACTACATAATGTGTTTGTGCCTAAGTGAATGTACTCATTTAAAGGGGCATTAGCTGTCAAATTCATGTTCACTGATTTGACTCAAATTCTCATATTTGACTTATAACATACTAAAACGTTTATCCAAATTAAAAAAAAGTCAAAAATAATCAATTTACGAAACTTGATAGTATGTGTAGCATTTCAGGTATATTTTAGTCTATACGCCATCTAATTAACCATCGAGGTGACCTTCCAAAGACTTGGACGGTCATATAACCCGATATAAACATGAGCATAGATATAAATAGATCGCAAACTCATGCAATTGGATTTTTCTAAGTCTGTTTGATTTCATATTATAGGTTAAACAATATGTTAGTAATCTTTTTTACCTGTATAAGAATGAGTTTTTGTTGATCGAATCGGCCAACAAAAAGGTTTACCCTTGTTTCACTTCCAATGTTGACATTCTTTTCCTTTTAATAGCTGAACACGCCTAGTTCATTCGTAACCCATCTCTGGCTAAGGGGTTCAATTGAAGTTCACATGAATACGGATTTAATGAGGTCGAATTATTCACTTGCAAGTGAATAATTCATTAGCGATGTTTCTTTGCCTATTTTGACAAAACTAAACCAAACTGGCTGCTAAAAGTGAATTATTATTTCATTAATGATTGAACAAAAAAAAAAAATCACATTTCATTTTTTCTATATCTCGTAGCTAATGCCCCTTTAGAGGATTCAGCTTGAGTTTGAAATTTCTATCGTAATCTGACAGCAAATAGATATTTATTTTGAAATTTGGTATCTGTCTCTGTAAAAAGTCTTGTTTTAAATTAATAATTTTGCTGCATGTACTTTCAGTATTCGTGATAACCTTTCCTTCCAGAATGATATACTAACAGAAGGAGAAGTAGTACACTGCTAGTGTAATCAATAATGTCTTGTTTTTTGTTCACAAGTGTTGATCTATTTTTATAAGTATTTAGATATGTTATTGACACATTTATAATGGTGATTTCTATAAGCTGATGTGCCTTATTTATATGCTTTAGTTGTATATGCAGATAATACTTTTTTTCTGTTTATTTTCTAACTGTAAATTGGGGAAAAAATTAGTAATTTTCTGCTGCACTCAACACTGTAATTTCTTCCTTATCCTATTGAAGATCTATGTATTATTAGAATCTGGTAGATGAAGAATAACAGTTAAAGCACTGTTTCTATATACATATATCCAATTTCCTTGGTTAATTGATGATAACCCTGTGTGTATCACAGGTGGAAAACTTGTGCATTTAATTCAAGTAATATTTTTCTTTTGGGATCTTCATACAAGTGGTTAGTAGTTAAGAGACTATTACTCAATACTATTTATTCTATACAGTTTATTCTCTCTCTTTTCTCCATTCTTAATAAAGGAGAGAGCACAACAATACAATATTATTGTACAATCCAGTCAAGGGCATTGATTCAAAGATCTTGATATATTGTGATACTTTGTTAATGTATGTAAGTGTTTGTTGTTTTATTTTTGTTGATGTGTACATGTGATTGACTATTGAAAAATAAAATTATTTATAATTATGTTTTATAATGTATGAGGAAACAAGGAATAAGCTGTCAAATTGACAGCAAACTTGGTTTTCTGTATTTTGAAAGGTGCTTTCAGGATTTTTTTTACCTGCCACATTCTATACATATTTTTTAATCTATCAAGGACAAACTCCTAAACGGCAAAAATCATCAATATCAAACTTGACCACCATTTTGTCATCAGTTGCAGCATATTAAAATTTTAAGAGCATTTGTTGAACAATTCATAAGAAATTACACGGAAACATCAAAGTGGAAATTTCAAATATATCAAGGACCATAACTCCTGATTGGCAAAAATGAAAATCAACAAGATCAAGTTTGACCACATTTTGTCACCAGTAACAGCATATTAAAATGTTAATGGCATCGGTTAAATGGTTCAAAAGTGATTGCATGGAAATGACATAAAGTAACAGTTTTCAATCTATAAAGAACCATAGCTCCTAGACCGCAAAAGTGAAAATCATCAATATTGAATCTGAACTCTATTATTTCATCAGTAACAACATATTAAAGTTTTAAAAGCATTGGTCAAGTGGTTCATAGGAAATTGCACCGAAACGAAATAAAGTGCCATTTTTCAGTATATCAAGGACCATAACTCCTGAACAGTAAAAGTGAAAATTTTCAATATCGAACTTGACCTCAATTTTGTCATTAGCGTCAACATATTAAAATTTGAAAAGCACTGGTTGAAAGGTTCATAAGTCATTGCAAGGAAACTGTTGGCAGTCACAAAGCTTCTGTACTTCACCAATTTGATTGTTTTTTCCTTCAGAAAACACAGTTAAAAAGTGTATACTTTAGTGAGTAGATCAGTGAATTGGTGCTCATGAGTGAGTAGATCAGAACGTTGGTACCCTTATGTAAGCAGTTCAGTATACTGGTACACTTTAGTAAGTAGATCAGCATGCTGGTACACCAAAGTGAGTAGATCGGTGTGCTGGTACACTTTAGTGAGTAAATCAGTGTGTTGGTACACTTCAGTGGGTAGATCAGTGTGCTGGTACACTTCAGTGAGTAGATCAGTGTGCTGGTAAATTTAAGTGAGTAATTAGTGTGTTGGTACATTGTTGTAAGTTGATCAGTGTGTTGGTACACTTCACAGTGAGTAGATCAGTGTGCTGGTACATTGTAGTGAGTAGATCAGTGCTGGTATGTTATAGTAAGTTGATCAGTGTGCTGGTACGTTGTAGTGAGTATATCAGTGTGCTGGTACATTTAGATGAGTAATCAGTGTGTTGGTACATTGTTGTAAATTGATCAGTGTGTTGGTACACTTCAGGAGTAGATCAGCATGCTGGTACATTTAAATGAGAAATCTGTGTGCTGGTACACTTCAGTGAATAGATCAGTGTGCTTGTACACTTAAGTGAGTAGATCAGTGTGTTGGTACACTTAAGTGAGTAGATCAGTGTACTGGTACACTTTAGTGTTTAGATTAGGCTGCTGGTGTTCTTGAGTGAGTAGATCAGTGTGCTGGTACACTTCAGTGAGTACATCAGCATTTAGGGACATGGAGGCCTTTTTTGTGTATTTGTCAGGCTTTACTGCTATTAAAACTAGTTTACAGTGTACATCAAAATAATAAAACAGTAAGTAGATGTGGTATGATTGTCAATGAGACTAATATCCTAGAAATCTTGATTATGAAAGTTCATATGTAACACTCCCAAACGTGTCCATCCCCCCCAAATGTGTCCGATTCCCCCAAACGTGTCCGTAAGATCATAAATCGCCCAAACGTGTCTGATTTCACATCCCCCAAGCGTGTCCGATAATTGTTATTCGCCAAAACGTGTCTACTTTAAGACGCCTGAACGTCTCAAAACTTTTAGCGCTATTATGTCCTCAGTGTCGTCAATAACGTTTACGGCAATTCAATTTTACGATTGTAGATGTTGGGATCCTAAAAAAAGATTAAAGCCGCATTCAAAGGACATAAATGCTGAAGTTTTTTGGGCACAATAACCGGAAATTAAAAAAGGAACAGAGTTGAAAGAAGAACATCCAAAATTTATTACCACTAATTTGTTCAACGCCGGTTGTTCATATTTAGCATAATTGCAAGTTTAATTTGAAACATATCAATTAACTCTTTACTGTTGATTGCTTAATGTCCAATGACAAATATTTCATGCATATTTAGAGCGAACATAAACAAATTGCAATTAATTAGTTTTTACAGTTAAATTCATCGTTTACTTGGTGAATTCTTTTGTACCAATATACTCCGGTGATGTCTTACTACATGAATATTAATGATGTTTGAGAATATTGCACTGATTTTTTTAATCAGCTCTTCAAAGTATGTACTGGTATTAAGTTTTTGTCACTAAAGAGACATAAACAAGAGGAATAAATTTGCATGTATCATTAGCATCCCTGATACCAACCTTATAATTCATAACCGTTATTACCTAAAGGTATCGTTAAAATACGTTAAAAACTGTATTCGTAAATTCCAATATTAAATGTAAGTAATTTTGAATGTGCATCATCCTTTTAACTGTCACATTACGTTAAATCAATTGTGAAAGAGGTAATAATCGACTAGGAAAAAGTAAAAGATTAACTGATTGTTGCTTGTGACAATTATTTCATGCATATCTAAGACAATAAATTGATTGATTGATGGTTGCTAAACGTCCAGTGGCAAATATTTTATGCATATTCAAGACTAGAACATATTAACAATAAATACATTAGGTAGGTCTATCTCTTCCTACACGAGGTTTCAGGTTTAACATCCCCATTCTGACTGGACGTGGCTGCGTACTTATACATCCCACATAGCCAAACTGACACTCAACTTTCGCAAGGATTTAACTGTCGGTTGGAAGAAGACCTTATTAACCATATTTCTGTTCTCCAGTCACGCTTGGAGGTAGGGCAATAGATGTTTGAAAGAGTAAATTAAAAGGAGAATACGTCAATAGAAGAACAATAACAAAATTATATATTTAATATTGGTGGACATTTTATTGTTACTTGAAGGCCAAAAATTAACTTAATTAAATGGAGCATTTAGGCTTTATATGGACACGTTTGGGCGTTCTTTAAAAAATGGACACGTTTGGGCGTTCTTAAAAATGACAGGTTTTGGCGCCCTTTAGCACCTAGACATGTTTTGCAGTTCAGCGATGTCATGTGGACACGTTTGGAGAAATCGGACACTTTTGGGGGGATGGACACGTTTCTGAGTGTTACACATATATTATTAGGCTTAAATTGTCAATTGTAGATACCTGTTGAAAATAAGTTGTTGTTACATTTCAACCTTTTTTAGCTCACCTGGCCCCGAAGGGCCAAGTGAGCTTTTCTCATCACTTGGCGTCCGTCGTCCGTCGTCGGTGTCGGCGTCGTCGTTGTCCGTCGTCGTTAGCTTTTTACAAAAATCCTCTCTGAAACCACTGGGCCAAATTTAACCAAACTTGGCCACAATCATCATTAGGGTATCTAGTTTAAAAAATGTGTCCGATGACCCCGCCAACCAACCAAGATGGCCGCCATGGCTAAAAATAGAACATAGGGGTAAAATGTAGATTTTGGCTTATATCTCTGAAAACAAAGCATTTAGAGTAAATCTGACATAGGGTAAAACTGATTATCAGGTCAAGATCTATCTGCCCTGAAATTTTCAGACAAATCTGACAACCTGTTTTTGGGTTGCTGCCCCTGAATTGGTAATTTTAAGGAAATTTTGCAGTTTTTGGTTATTATCTTGAATATTATTATAGATAGAGATAAACTGTAAACAGCAATAATGTTCAGCAAAGTAAGATCTACAAATAAGTTGTCATAACCAAAATTGTCAGTCCACCCCTTTAGGAGTTATTGCCCTTAATAGTCAATTTTGAACAATTTTTTGTAAATTTTTGTAATCTTTTACAAAAATCTTCTTCTCTGAAACTACTGAGTCAAATTTAACCATACTTGGCCATAATCATTATTAGGGTATCTAGTTTAAAAAATTTGTCCGATGACCCCGCCTTCCAACCATCATGGCCGACTTGGTTAAAAATAGAACATAGGGGTAAAATGCAGTTTTTGGTTTATATCTCTGAAACTAAAGCATTTAGAGCAAATCTGACAGGTGGCAAAAATGTTCATCAGATTTAGATTTATCTGCCCTGAAATTTTCAGACGAATCTGACAACCCGTTATTGGGTTGCTGCCCCCGAGTTAGTAATTTTACAAAAATTTTGCAGTTTTTTGTTATTATCTTAGATATCATTATAATATCTAATATCTTATACTATTAATTATGATTTTAACCTTATTTTACATGATTTCCAAAGCATCAGTAAATACAGGTGAGCGACACAGGCTCTTGAGAGCCTCTAGTTAGTGCTTACTGTAAAATAAATGCAATCTTTACCCTCATTAAATTTAATATAATTAAAGTATTTCCTGTGGCTATAGATATACAAGTAATCCATGGGGACCAAATATCAGAACTCATAGAATATTCTATTTGATTGGATTTTAATGAATTTTTGTTCTAATCATAGTACTAGATTTAAGTATAAGACATAACAAATAAGTTAGGAACTGGTAAAATTATAGTACTAGATTCAAGTATAAGACATAACAAGTAAGTGATAAACTGGTAAGAAAAGCTTGATACTGTAGAGTGCTGGGCAATGAGCAATCCTTAAACTTCTTAGTGCTAGATACATAGTTGTGGTGCAAATTTTGGAAAATCCCTAAATGTATAATAGTATTATATTTAATTTACATATATATTTAAAAGGTTATGAAAATAGAATAAAAGTGCAATTATTGTTGTTGTATATTCCTATTGATTGGTAAGATTGTTATCAATAAGTTTAACATATTTTTTAAATGAGAGATGAAATTGTATAATTCTTTAGAAAGGATCACCCTTGTAATTTTATGTACATATACATAGCTCATCTGTTTATAAAATACATAATCATATGTTCTGTAAAGGATGTTCACTACACTTCTTTTTGACTTTTTGCCTGATATTCGGAATCCTCTAGTTTTATCATGTAGTGCCAATCAAAATTTTGCCTGCTTACCCCTAGTTTTTCTTTTCATAATTATATTACATATAGTTATAGGTGGCAAAAATGTTCATCAGATTTAGATTTATCTGCCCTGAAATTTTCAGACGAATCCGACAACCCGTTGTTGGGTTGCTGCCCCTGAGTTAGTAATTTTACAAAAATTTTGCAGTTTATTGTTATTATCTTAGATATCATTATAATATCTAATATCTAATACTATTAATTATGATTTTAACCTTATTTTACATGATTTCCAAAGCATCAGTAAATACAGGTGAGCGACACAGGCTCTTGAGAGCCTCTAGTTGTTGAGCCTGCAACATTTATGTCACGAAAGTGGGACATAGCGATCCTAGATGTCGGCGTCAACATTAAGGTTCAGTCTGTGGTTAAAGTTTTTTCATTTATCAAGAACTTTATCAAACCTTCATGGAATTTTATGAAATTTGGACAGAAGCTTAGTTAAGACCAAAATACAGTATTCAGAGCAAAATTCATGATTATGCTTCTTGAAGCTTTTGCCTAGATGAACTTGATGGATAAAAAAAAACCTTTTTCGTATAAAAAAAAACATTAAGGGCTATATAAACTCTTATTCTAATATGATGCTATTCTTTTGCTTTGCTGTTGATATTTTGCTTTGTTCTTATTCCAGCAATACATGGGTCAGTCTGATTAAAATCATACCTCTCACTTGCTATTGTTTATTTATATGTCGTACCACAGGACATATCATAAAAAGGGAGCATAGAGAGGTTTGATTTTAATCAGACTGCACATGGGGTACTCAAACTATTTTTGAAATCATTGTTTATTTGCAGTTTTTTGAGTCATTTAGGCTATGTAGATTGTATCTACACCTAAAAGCATTGAGCATGGGCGACACATAGGGATTACTTCTGTCGTCTTGCATTATTGTCCACTATACACTTGTAATACAGCTGGACAGAATTTAACAAAACTATCACAGTTTTTTCTACAGGACACAAAGTTGTGCACCTGCTATTTCGAATTTTGATTTGTTGTGGTTTTGGGAATTTTCCATACCAAAACCAGACTTTTGCCATTTCTTCTTATATTATTTGGAGTCAGCAGAAGACACATATCTTCCTTGGAAGACAATTATTTTTTTCAAAAGTCTTCATTGTTTTGCTATTATAGAATCATAAGTCCTTTTTCTGACAAGTTTTAGTAGATATACAATATCATTTTTAATGCAAGTGGAGCGTGACGTGTTCCTGAAAGCCCCTTTCTTACAACAATTTCATGCAAATGTAGCTTGGGTTTACATGTTTTTGTTAGGTGAATATCTTGCCACAGTTTCATATGACACAAAATTACTGCACACACTTGACACAACAAAAAGCAAGTTAACATTACTTTTATTGTTGTTCTTTATCTCAGTCACTGAGGCCTTCCAACATGGAGCAAACTCTAACACCCATTTGCAATTCCAAGACCGCACCTAGCACTGGTTTGAGCAGAATTCTTTGCTAGATGTGAATCACACTACATCAGTCATTGAAAAACACAGTTTGAAGTAATAAAATAATTTAAATCATTTCTGCAAAGAAATCTAACAAATACTGTGATAAATTGCCTAATAATCTTCCTGCAAACTATAGAACCAATACATACATTTGAACTTCAACATGTTCTTACGGTTATCCAATATGTTTAAAGGTTACTGTCTCCTTGTTGAATACCCCCACACATATTTTATGGTTCTCAAAACTATCAAGTGTTATCATGCAAAGACCAAAACTGATTAAAAACTAAAGAACAAATGTATTGAGAAGTCATTTAATATAACAACAAGTATATTTAACAATGCTGATAGAAGGATTAAGTAACACATAATGTATTACTGTCAGTCATAATAGATTCTACATCAGCACTATCATTCTATAAAACATACATCCATACTAATAAAATGGATCAATGGATTAGAAAGAATTGTCTTTTTTTTTATTTCTTATATATCAGAACATATATATTAAATCAGAAAGATTCAATATTATCAATTAATCAACTGAATGATTGAACATGATTTATATAAAAAAAAAAATCAGTTTTAAGGGTTTATGAAACAGGACTTTTAGTTTCTAAACATCTTTTATTTTCTTTGTTTAATAACTGAAAAATAATTTGCACATTCAATGTGTCTACTGAATTTTCACACAGGAACACAAATTTTGAGCTGATTGTAAAAAGCATTTTCAAGTAAATGTTAAACATGTATAAATGAAAGAAAAGCAATAAACATTAAATAATAAATAAAACATATATTAAAAGCTTTTAATTATCTGTGACATTATTTTTTTTATTAAGTTCTAGGTAAATACAGATAAATAAAATCACTGTTGCTTCTATACTAACTTTACATTTATTTTCTTGATTCATGTCCAGAAAATAGAATAATTTTAAAAATTAATGTGCATTAAGTTCTGTTAACATTATGTTGTACTCCATTAGACCTAACTAACTTGAAAACTATTATAATCTACTCTTTTCTGAAGAATTGCCACTTTTCTCAAATACATTTTATTGAAAGAATGCATTAACATGACGTCACATTGAACCTGCTGTTAAGATGTGCCTTCCCTTATAGGGTATGTGTTTGAAGTCCTACAAAATGGCATACTATGGATAGATATATGTATGAGGATTTATCAAAATTTTAGACTTTGTGCTCTTATCTAAATACTCACTGATATTACAAAACTAAATGTGTTATGGCTTCTAATGTTGAGGAATATGAACAAACTCTAAACATATTGTCATCACCAACAAAACAATCATATACTGGAATATCTGTTTTGATAAATGTGAAATTACTAGTACAGGAACAACAAACAATTCTTAAGATCAAAATTCTCATGTTCAAAATTCAATGTAATAGCATGAAAAGCATTCCCAAATTTTCTTGCAAGGATTTAATGAAACTGACTTTTGTCATTAGCTATTTAAGAAGTCCAGTTGTTCAACCCTAATGACCCAGATACAACTCAAATACATTAAAGCTAAAGTCACTTCAGTCAAGATGTTTCACCTAAGCAAATTTCATCGGAAACAAATAGACCAAAACACACCCATTCTGTTACAAGGCCAAGAATATATTTTGACTATATTTTCCAGTTTAGTGAAAAACGGATCGGCTATTAAAGCTAGTCAGATTAAAAAAAGCGTAATTAAGCAGATTAAGACATGATCAACTATCAATCATTATGAGCAGTTATTCATAAATATATGTTACACTGGCCTAATTTGAGTACATACAAAGAAATATCCAGGGTATACTTGTCTGTCTACAGTAAGTTCATTAAATTTAATGTACTGCATTTCTAAGGATATTTTAAGGATGTTCGCTCCTCTGTTTTAAAATAACAAGCTTTTTTAAAAACTGTTATAAATTGATAGTATATAAATAATCAAACACAAAAAGCAGAAAAAAAATGAAAATTTGGCAGAAAATGATTCTTTCTAGACTTTTCATTAACTTAACATTGGCACCTTTTTCCTATGAAAAAATAACAATGATTTTATAAGATTTTCAAAATTGGCTTTTTTAACTATATGTAATATAATTATGAAAAGAAAAACTAGGGGTAAGCAGGCAAAATTTTGATTGGCACTACATAGATAAAACTAGTAATTCCGAATATCTGACAAAAAGTCAAAAAGAAGTGTAGTGAACATCCTTTACAGAACATATGATTATGTATTTTATAAACAGATGAGCTATGTATATGTACATAAAATTACAAGGGTGATCCTTTCTAAAGAATTATACAATTTCATCGCTCATTTAAAAAATATGTTAAACCTATTGATAACAATCTTACCAATCAATAGGAATATACAACAACAATAATTGCACTTTTATTCTATTTTCATAACCTTTTAAATATATATGTAAATTAAATATAATACTATTATACATTTAGGGATTTTCCAAAATTTGCACCACAACTATGTATCTAGCACTAAGAAATTTAAGGATTGCTCATTGCCCAGCACTTTACAGTATCAAGCTTTTCTTACCAGTTTCTCACTTACTTGTTATGTCTTATACTTGAATCTAGTACTATAATTTTACCAGTTCCTAACTTATTTGTTATGTCTTATACTTAAATCTAGTACTATGATTAGAACAAAAATTCATTAAAATCCAATCAAATAGAAGATTCTATGAGTTCTGATATTTGGTCCCCATGGATTACTTGTATATCTGTAGCCACAGGAAATACTTTAATTATATTAAATTTAATGAGGGTAAAGATTGCATTTATTTTACAGTAAGCACTAAAAATTAAACATTACATTGAACTAAGCATTGGAAGGTTCAACTACAATAATGGACAAAGGAAGATACGGTGACTGCAATTTTAAATAGTACTTTAACATGACATCATTGATACTTTTAGAACAGATACTAGATTCATCCGCCATGCACACATTATGTAATTTTCTTAACAAGTATGGTTATACACATACACATCATTTTATAACTTGCATATCTGAGTATATATTTCATTGATAAATTTCTAATCATGTTCATGGATAGGATGTTGTGCTCAATGCACTATGTTTTTTTATCTCACAAGTAGTGATAAAATCTGGAAAATTGATTACTATCAAGTCAGCCACATAAAGGAATTGAATGCAATCTTTACCCCAAAAACTGTTAGGTGCAAGAAATAAAATAAATCTATATAAAAATAATCATGTTTGTGAAATGTTATAGGTGATAACCATGCAAACACACACACAACTACACAAAGCTACACATTATATATATGACTCAATTTATTGAGCGTTATTATTTACAAAGATTGTCCAAGTGTTAAGAATATAATTAGATATAGCACATTCCTATGGTAAAGCTAAGCATTAAATAAAGAAAATTCTACTATAAACTCTAAATCATCAAATTATAGTAACATCAATATAAAAATTACAAGAAGGTTATAATGGGTTTGAAATACAAGTAAATAGTATGTAACTCCTGATAAAAAGAATGGACTAGAAAGATGATCTTTTTGAAAATGGAAAAGATTTTAAAAAGTTACAAATATATGTAGTATTTCTATGATTTTCATTGACATTTTAATATAAACACAGAATGCACAATTTCTGGATAAAGCTAAGAGTGATGAAATATATAGTAATACCATCTGAGACCAAGTTAGAAAATCATTTAAAATATGTCATTGTTTTTTTCTATTACTTCAATTTTTTAAAGAATGATCACAGATTTGGAGAGGAATGAACATTTAACATTGTAATGATAAGGCACTAATTATTCCAGAAAAATGCCTTAATAGTGTCAAATTAGGAACATCTATTGAAAGTTCACAATTTTTAGCTTATGAAAGGGGTAGGGCAAATTTCCCATATATTTGTTTAACTCACAGGAAAAAAAATCTAAAAGTTGTCAAATCCTACTGGAAATCAAATAACAAGGAGTCTAAAAAAACTTTTTTCATAATTTTACATATTTCCAGAAAATCAAAATCTTATTCAATGCTGCATGTTGCTTTTTAAGGCATTTTGATGAGAAAAAAAAACAAATTTGTGAGAGTAGCATCATCTACATTATATGACGCTTAATTCCTTGATTTAACTACTGATAAAAAAGGCTTAAACTTACTTCTACCAAAATACTTAAAATTGAAGAATATCAATAATAATTCTTTGTAAATAAAGGCTTATTTCAAATTGAATAAACTCATCACTAATTTTCTAAGATGATGTAATTCTGCTTAAAACTTTAAAAAATAACAAAACCTTTCATGTGTTGTCAAATGTTAATATATTTCACACTCAGTTTATAAACCGGTATCAACAGTAACAAAAAAGAAAACAATGTATATATAGAGTCCAGGATAAAATTGTCAACAATAAATAGTAACAAGTTTATCACATATACTTTTACAATAATTTGAAATATTAACAATGTATACTTCTCTCTATTGCGTAAATCTACCAGTGAATATACATATTATCATATGTGTACACTTATTTAAACCTAGAATTATCCCTATAATATTTTCATTCCAATTTTTCTCACTAACCTAAATGAAAAGAATTTTCAGCTTATAAAAATCCTATGAAAATAAGTCTAATTTTAAAGTGGTATCGCAAAAGGTACCAACAAAAACAGACACCCCACTTGAGCAAACTTCTTTTTTAAAGAGAAAGTTTTCTTTGATGAATAAATCAGAAACTGATTAATGGATTATTTTTTTCAAGTATCATCAATCAGGAAATAGAAAAAAATGGGGTATCCGTTCTTGTTTTTTTTTTTTTATATATATCTTACAAAATGAAGTAAAGCTGGTAGGATCCCCCGGATACCGGATCAATTTAAATAGGGTGCAACTATTAATCCACCATTTTGCCTCTGAGGAAGGACTATGAAGGACTAAACCTGTCAGGCTATGGATCATCACCAGGTGCTAAAATTATGTGTTTTGGCATATTCTATATTTTTTAAAGCTGGCAGTTTACTGTTTGACAGTTCTATTTAGTTCCTTATCTCCCCTGAATTGGACATTTTGTTTCTTATCTCCCCTGAGTAAGTGATATATACTTTACTTCGCAAAAAGGTATTATTTTTAGTATAAAGAATATAATACTATGATCTTCTTTTTATTTACTTTTTAAAAAATGATCATAAATTCTCAGATTCATGTGAATGTATGCAAATTAAACAACAAACAAACAAACAAATAAGCAGCATATTTAAAATGACTGGCAACATGGTTACACAATTATTTAGCATTTACAAAACTAAAAAGAATATGCAACAGCTGAAAGAACTGATTTCATGATATTCTGCTTTGGACTTTTACATATGTATGCAAATGCAGTTATATACAACTACTAATTATCTATCAAAAAGACCTAGGTTAACATTGCTGTTAGATTAGGATGTAATTTCCAGTATAATAACACTTGTGTTATGTTTTTTTCAATACTGATCAAATCCAACTATAAAGAAACAAATATATTAATCACTATTTACCAATTACTCCATTTGGAGCAAATCATTTTTGTGTAAAGAATTCCAAGTACAGTATGAATTTTGAAAACCTTATAACAACAAAATTTCCAAAACCTTAATTTTTACCTTGCAACCATCTTGTGCACTGCTTAACAATCTAGATATAAGTAAAATCGATCTTAACTGATAAAAACCTAAATTCAAAGTTGTTTTTCATGACAACTTCCAGTGTGGACTATGTAATTAACATAATACTGCTCAGAAACTAACATGAGACAAAATTTATTATGTATCTATAATCACACAAGTACACAAAATCTTATATGATCTTTGATCTATAATCAGTGTAAAAAGGACTGACATGTTGGTTATTATAACATGTTGATTTAATTTGGGCTGGCAATAACAACCAACAGAATCAAATATATCATTACACACATCATTGTAAGTTTAAAGTGTTGGAGAAATAATATCAAATTTAACCATAGGTATTGAAGCATGAAATGTATGCAAGGATGGCTTACCGGTACTTTTATTTGGAGGTAGTTATGCTTCTACGGACCCCACATCTGTTTTATGGGTTAGTGTTAGATAAAAGATCAATTTGTATCCTAAAACTAAATTCGGAGGTTAAAGTTATCAAACTCAATAAGTTGTGAAAAGTAAGAAAGACCTGTCTTTTCAAATAGACAATGTATAAACATCACAATTATTAATAATAATCATAACTTTTCCAATGCCAGAGTGACTTACTTTTTGGTGGACTTCTACTATACACCACTATATGCATCCTTACAAAGATCACTTCTGAAAACTAAACTTAGGCATAAAAAGTATGTCAGGTGACTTATTGTATGTTAGAAGGCTATTTTACTCCCTTATACCATGTTATAAAACTGTGGGTCATTACTTCAAAGTTGAACTAAGTCATAAAGGTAAAGCCAATTATGTGTTAAATGCTGTTATACTGCCCTAGATGCACAACAGTACCTAATTACATTATGGAAGGTCAATGTATCTCACAACTGATTTTTTGTTTATTACTTAAAAGTCAGTTAAATAAGAGTAATGTGACATATAAAGTGTATATACCTATGCAGACCTAACCAGAGTGTTCTCACAAGGCCCCTTCAAATTTGCTGTGAAAAACTAAATAAAACTGTCATCAAAAATGGTTTATAAAGGCAAATAATCTTAATCTGTCAAATTGTATTTTCAGAAAATCAACGTCTGCTTTTTCCAAAATAATATTTTTGACAACCAAGAAAGTACAGAAGTTTTTGACCTTATAAGTCAAGCAGAAAGAAATCAAGTTTTTAAAACTTCTTAAAAAAATGTTCAACAGTAAATATTATAACATCAGTCTTAACAAATAAATACATCAGTAAATCTGTCATCAATCACAACTTCCTGTAGGATGATGGGTAATAATATCTTGTGGTTACTGTGAAAACCCGTAACTTCTGATATGTGTTTGATTCCAGTGAAAAGATCTGAAATAAATGTCATTACATCAATAATTCATGTGTAATATCTAAACATCATAATGCAAAAGAATTGCCAGATATATTCAAAAATCTAAAGATGTTCTTTGAAAGTCACAGATGCCCTTCACTCCAGTCCACAAAAACATGGATTGCTGCAATAATGACTTAAAAGAATAATAAAAATGTAGGTCATGGTGACTAACATGCTCTAAAGCTATATTTAGTGCATATAAGAAGATTGAAGTGTTTTACAAAGTTTAAATTTAATATTCATAAAATAACTGATTGAATGTCAAAGATTTTTTTTAATAATATGCAGACACTTTTGTTAAAATAAATACTCCTTTATCATCCAAGTAACTAAAATAGTTCTTCACCTTGCGTTTAATAAAGGTAATATGCATTATGTCATCACTCATGAAACCTGTGGGGAGAACTGTTGTTTCTGATTTTTTTTATCTTTTGTTTCTTGTCTTTTGATATTCAACTGACAGCTGTGGATACCTATGCTAGTATTCTGTAGAAGAGTGCATACTTTGACATTTCTTTCCGAATAATGTGGCATCTTTTATTTCCTTATTTAAGTTACTGGTCATCCTGTTGGTAGCTTGACTGTGCAGGTTTTTATTGAGTGTTTAACTTTTTATGACATATGGCAAAAGGGGAGGTTTTTGGGCACATACAATTGGTTGAACCCCACCCCATTAAGGCTATCAGGACCATCAGTTGTTTGTCCTTGTTTGTCTTTATAGCTGTCTATTTCCTCTGAGCAGGCAGATGTTGGAGGTTGGTGTGGACTGTTGTAATGTCTAGTATTTTTGGTAGTTCCTGTTATCCTTTCATGTATTATCAATATCCTAAATAAGCAACAATGTGGTTTAGTTTTGTTTAGATTTTTCTTTGATTGAAGGTGTGGTCATTGCATGAACATTGCTCAGTATTGGTCAAGTTTGACATAATCTGGAAGCATCTCAATTACCTCCCTTTTTCAGGCAAGATACCACAATGAAAAATGAGACGAGCAAGGAACTTTAGTGAGATTGAATTTACTAAAATGATATTGGATAAATATAACAAGAGTGCACAGGTTGAAATGTTTCACCTGTGTTACTTATGATTGAAAGTATGTTGAAAGCCTGTAATATGAAGTTTTTACTACAAGTATCACATACACTTAACTGCATCAACGAGCCATGAAAATGAGGTCAAGGTCAAATGAACCATGCCAGACAGACATGTATACCTTACAATCAATCCATACACCAAATATACAGGTCCTTTTGCTTTCTGTACCTGAGAAACAGACCAAAACACAAATTACTTATCACTGACCAATGAACCATGAAAATAAGGTCAAGATCAGGTAAACCCTGCCAGACAGACATGTACACCTTACAATCAATCTATACACCAAATATAATTGACTTTTGCTTATGATTGATTAATGATTGCTTTACGCCACATCAGTGCAAAACGGTTTTATTACGGCTAGCTTATTGTTTATAGTATCGGATAAACTGACAAAACCATGAAAACTTAACATTGAACAAAGAACCATGAAAATGTGGTCAAGGTTATATGAAACCTGCCAGACAGACATGTACACCTTACAATCATTCCATACACCAAATATAATTGACCTATTGCTTATAGTATCTGTGAAACTGACAAAACCATGAAAACTTAACATTGACCAATGAACCATGAAAATGACGTTAAGGTCATGTGAACCCTGTCTGATGGATATGTAGACGTTGCAAGGATCCCATTTACCAAATATGGTTATCCTATTACTCATAATATGTGAGCATTTCACATAACAAAAAAAACAATACATGTTTTAGAGGCAGTCACTGATCTATGAAAATAAGGTCAAGGACAATGAACATATGACAGACGGAAACTTGGCAACATAAGGTATCTGCATACAAGGTATGAAGCATCCAGGTCTTCCACCTTCTGAAATAGAAAGCTTTATACAAATAGTTTACAACATCGTCACAGGTGAGACAAAAAATCAGGTTCAGCAGGACTCGCCATATGTATGTTATAATTCATGATAAAGTATCAGTGTTACAGCAAATTAAGCTATTCTAAAGTAAACATGTAGCGTATCTAAAATAATTAGTAGTCCAGTGCAATCAGGCAACAAATAAACTTACCTTTATTTAAACATTGATAAACATCTCCCTGTATAACTGTGGCATACTAAGGAAAGGATAAACCCGTAACATCTCTCGGATACCTTCCAAATGTTGGAAAGCATAAAAATTTAATTCACTGAGTCTCACTAACACCAAACCATATCTAGAGGGCTGATCAGGATAGGTAACTGAAAATATAAATAAAATTCTTACAAAGTGGAATTTGTGGCAAATCAATATAGTTTTAGTGACCTGTTAATTGTTTACTTTTAAATCTGTGTAGCTAAATTGTTTTCAACTGCTTACTAGTCCATGTCAATTTCTTTGATTCTACAAGTGTGACTGCATGCATGGTACAATGTCACCATACCTAAAGATATCAGGCAAAAAAACAATTGATTGTGAATTAGCTGAATAATATGTTCATATTTGACCATCTGTAACCAATTAAGAATAAGGTGAACACAAAATATAACTTTGGATAAGAATTTAAAATCATCTTGATCCATTTTTTTTTTTATCTTTGCAGTGGAATCAGTCCAACTTTTGTTCTTGGGGTTGTTAAATGCTTTTTTTCGGGGGGAAGGGAGGGGGTGTGGTTATCAGAATCTTTCATTCTAGGGTTGTATCAATATCTATTGTTCTTTGGGTTGTATGGTTGTATCATTATCTTTTGTTCTTGGAATTGCATCAGTATTTTTTTGTTATTGGGGTTGTATCAATATCTTTTGTTCTTGGAGTTGTATCAATATCTTTTGTTCTTGGAGTTGTATCAATATCTTTTGTTTTTTGGGTTGTTTCAGTACTATCTTTCGTTCTTGGGAATGTATAAATATCTATTGTTCTTGGGAATGTATCAATATCTATTGTTCTTGGGAATGTATCAATATCTATTGTTCTTGGGAATGTATCAATATCTTTTGTTCTTGGGGTTGTATCAATATCTTTTGTTCTTGGGGTTGTATCAATATTTTTTTTTGTTCTTGGGTTTGTATCAGTATATTTTGTTCTTGGGGTTGTATCAATATCTACTTAAACTTTGCAATAAAATCTGAATGTTCCTATCTCCCAGAAACAGCATTCTTTTAAGTCAACACAGAAAATGAGTGCATGCTTCAACAACTAAATGTTTATTCTCCTATGCACAGGTAGATTCAGGGAAATGTCTTGACCCCTTGACTTTTCAACTAGTTTTGAATAATTTCTACAGAGAAACAAACTGACCTATATATGATTATACAGTGTACCTATAGATTGATACACACATTATCTCCATGGATGCATAGAAAAAACTTCTCAAGAACACATAAAACAACATGAAGATTGAATATTTCTATGCATTTAAAAAAATATAGTACATGTATATGCCAAAACACATTATTAACAGCGCCTGGTTAGGATCCATAGCCTGACCGGATTCAGTCCTCAGAGGCAGAATGGTGGATTAATAGTTGCACCCTATTTATATAGATCCAGTATCCGGCAGATAAGAGTTAAAGTTTATCCTAACAAAGGAAAATTCTAGAGTAAAGAAATAATACTTTAAACTATGTTATGATAAGCATATCCCAACTCATTATAAGAAATTGCTGAAAATTTCCTAGCTAAGTGGGTATAATGAAAATACAAAGTATCATCAGATGGGAAGCGACTGTTATGTAGATAAAAAAATCCTTAAGAAATTACAATTAAACATTATAAAATTCTAAACCAAATATCATTTTATTTCTTCATACACAAGCTGAGTAATATGTAACTTATGTTAGACAGATAAACAGACACACTCTATGAGTGTGTGTATATTAAATAAGTATATACTAACTTGATAGATAATATTCTAAAAAGTCTAACAGTTCTGCTTGAAGCTGTCTAACTTTTTCTTTGTCTATAAGACCAGGCACATCTGAAATAAGTACATTTATATCTGAACAATAATATAAATACAACAGAATTTTTTTATTTCTGTAAAGAGGTAGGGCCATTTTCCTGTGATTTTTTTTCATTTAATTAGACAGGTAAATTATGTTTTAAATAGATGCTAATTATAGTACACATCATCATTTTTCATACCTTGAAAGGTATTTCTACAATAAACAAGGCCAAGACTATTGTTTTTTTATTTATCATTTTTAAACCGATATCTATTGTCTAATAACGACCCTGAGGGGAATGAAAAATTCAAAATTAGTTGTTTATAAAAAAAAACATGTTGCTTAAGTTAGCTTTAGTTATCTCTGTAGCGATGTAATGCATTGGCTTTATGAAAATAAAGATATATATCAGTTAATTTTGGTAGGTGATTTGTAGCGTACATGTATTTTATAGCTTTGTTTTATAACTTAAAACTAGCAAACCGATAAAAAAACGGGGGTTAAATATAAGTACAAAACACATCTAATAATCTAATTATCTGAAATATACTAATCTGATTCAAGATCGGTCTATAATATCGGACGCATTTAACTGGGGTGTTGTTTTCCTCGATCTGGATGTATCTATCTCTGTCCCGGTTTTTTAGGTTTAACCATTTAAATGAACAGTGCAACATCTTACACCAGTTGGTACAAGAAAACTTTGTGTTACAAACACATGTAATCTGGCCTTTTCTAGCATTGTAAGAAATGGACCCTTTTTGTGTTACAGATGCAACACTATCTTGATGTTTTACCTACAGTCACGCTTGGTAGTGTAATTGATTTTTTTTTGTGTTGTTGTTTTATTTTCTGATGACCTTAGTCCGTTGCAGGGACGGTGGTAACAATGTCAGTAATAGTATCTACACAGTTGGTGGATTGGCAATAAAATTGCTGTCTTCATTTGTTACATATGATACCATTTTCAAAAACGTGCTTGTTCAAGGTTTCGATAAATTGTTTTTGTTGTTTTGAAATTTTTCTGCTATGGCCTTTTTTCTTTGTGTGTATATTACACACACAACCTCCGGCCTTCTTTGTTATATATAATCAATTCTCGTGTTATTGGTTATGTACAAGCATCTACTTCAGCTTGACGGCAATTGTTCCTTGCATATGCTATACTAAATGTAGCAGAAATAGGAAGTAAGTTTAGAGTTTGGATAGTTATAGGAACACACACAATAAGCAACACACTATTTTTTTTCTTTAATGAAATGATATATAGTCAAATTGATCCATAATGACTCTATGAAGTAAACAAACATCCGAAAAAATATGAGAGAAACATTGCAAATTAATATTTCAACACAAAAAATGCGAAAATCTGCGTGAGATTTGAACCCATTCTTAAAAAACAATCAGTCATTAAGAGATCTATGCGCTACCGTTGGAGCTAACGGCAACTCATGGAGACAATAGTTTTATTAAGCACTTATATAGATACAATTTAGTGATGTTCCACTTTTTTATTAAAAAAGTAGTTTTTTAGGTGCAATAGAAGATTTCTTCTTGAAACTTTTCAAAATTCGAAATTTGAAAAATTCTGAAAAAAAAATATGAATCCTTTAAAAAAATTGTAAACAAAAAATCCCCCCACCCCCAACTTATTTAAACCCCCCTTGGAGCAATAACCCAAAAACTCAATTCCAGCCCTTCCTTTGTAGTATGGAATCTTGTTGTATAATTTCAGAGAAATCCACACACTTACACAAGTTATTGTCTTGAAACTAGAAAAATGCTTCTTTTTGGCCCTTTTTTGGCCCCTAATTCCTACATGTTTGGGACAATTAACCCCAAACTCAATCCCAGCCTTCCCTTTGTTATATGGAACCTTGTGGTACAATGTCTGAGAGATCCACTTACACACAAGTTATTGTCCGGAAACTAGAAAAATACTTGTTTTTGGCCCCTTTTTGGCCCTTTATTCCTAAACTGTTTGCCCCATAACCCTTAAAATAAATCCCAACCTTCTACTTGTGGTATTAAACATTGTGGTACAATTTCAGAGCAATTGAAATACTTATACACAAGTTATTGTCCTGAAACTAGATAAATGCTTGTTTTGGGCCCCTTTTGGGCCCCTTATTCCTAAACGGTTGGAACCATCATCCCTAAAATCAATCCCAACTTTCCTTTTGTGGTATTGAACCTTCTAAAAAATTTCATAGAGATCCATTCACTTAAACTAAAGATATTGTCCAGAAACAAATTTGTCTTCGGACGATGATGCAGACGACGAAGACGACGACATCACACCATTATATGATCCCAAAAAATTTTTTGCGGTTGTATAAAAATGGAAACAAGCAATCATTTTTCAGTTGTAATTTTGGGGAATTGTGTAATACAGATGTTGTGTAATCACTCAGCTGGTTTATTTTATTCTCATTTATCATGAGTAGACCAGTTGTACTCTTTGGTAGGATGAAGGGTTGATGGGAATTCAATCTGATTATAATACAATTCATGTGTCCATGCTTTGATTGTAAGTATCTGTATTTCAATCACATTGGTTTGGGATTTACTACGGCTTTCTTGCTTTCTTGCATTTAAATTTGAAATATGAAAATTATGTACCTACCAGTTGAGAGATAATTTGATTGCAAGTACAACACACGATAATAATGCATGATCAGCTGATCATTGTCATTTTGTATCACAAAACATTTGGTTTATATGCAAGACAATTAAAAACTTTCTTTGATAAATAAATTGCTGTTTTTAGGTTAATTAAGTGATAGACAGTTGTCTTGGCTGACATTTGTCAGATTCTCAAGTTACAACTGGAAAACTGTTCCTTCAATAAGATTTTACAAAATTAGGACAAATTGTGGGAATTAAAGAACTAAATCATCCACAAATAACAGATCAACAGAAACGTATACCCTATGATGCTGTCCTTAAATTTCTTGTCATGAATTATAGTCTTAATTCTAACAATTAACGCACACACCTAAAACACAATTCTCCCCTACTATAGTAGGCAGGGCAAGAAAATAATAAGATATGGCAAAGAATTACAGTCCAGATATGATCATGTCAAAAAATTAAAAAGCACTATCTTGTGTAGTTGGGTGGAATTATCTGGCTAGCTAGAAATACTTACTTTTTTTTAATCTTTATTCTATTACTGAATCATCAACAACTTAAGATAATGTGAGATAATAAATTTGTTCCCAGTATTTTAATCAAAATTAAAAATGTGAGTTTTAATTGTTGCAATATTAATCCTGTTACATTAACTTTGGCCAAGGAGGGTATTAAAAGACAAATGTTCATTTTTTTTTATAAAAAGAAATGATTATAAAACATAAAAAGTGAAATGAAAAATGTTGCTGTACTAAATTACAAGTCCACGTATTGCTATTCATAATCTTCTGTGATAGACAAACCAAAAGTACACAAACTACATGTCTACCTGCAGAAAGTGGAAGAAACTATTGCTTCCTAGCATGAACAATTATGATCATTAAATATATGTGCAATTAAAAATGTTTTATTTCATAACTCACCTGGATTGAGCAAAACAAGAGTTGAAAGAATTGTAAATTCATCATCATCTAAACCAAGTAACTTCACATTATCACCGGTATTTTCAAAATGTTCCCCGAGAATACGATAAAAAGGGAAATATTTCCAAATATGTTCCCTCTCTACCACTGACCATCCAAAATAGGAATATTGTTTTGTTTCCAAAATGTAATATCTACAGTGGTTCAATATACTTATTGGATAAAGGGCCTGCTGTAGCATCCGGACTTGATCTTCCAGTGCAAGTTTACGGAATGCTGAAAAAGTACAATATCATTTAATGCCTTCTACCATAACTACAACATTAAGATGAATAAATTGTGAATATGTCTATGGGACACAGATGATGCCCCCGCTTGCATATAACGATATAAAGGGACATAACTCAAAGTGACGCTACCCAAAATTTGTAGTTGATCTGAGTTTTGTGGTAATAAGCATTGTTTATAAGTTTCATAACATTTAGTTGAGGTAAACTTAAGTTAGAGAACAGAAACGAATATTTCAGCAATTTTTCCATTTGTAAAGGGGCATAACTCTATAACAGTTAAAGTGACGCCACCAAAATTTGTACTTGATCTGTGTTTTGTGGTAATAAGCATTGTGTATAAGTACAAGGGTACTATAAACATAATACATTTGGATGGAAAGTTGAAGAAAAAATACTTAAAAAGGCAATTTCTTCAGCACACAAGTTACATTTACGAAAAAATTTTGTCGACTAAAAACCTCCTGATCCGAGTCCTTATCTCCTTACCAAAATTTCCCAATCTCTTGATCTGAGTTTCACAGTCCATCACATGTATGTTAATGACCCCTCCACTATGGCAGGGGCATAATAAAATAGCAGTTCATATTCGTTGAAAAAGTGAGGTTAGGACCATTTGTAATTCTGGATACCAAATTGCTTGAGTAAATTCTGGATACCAAATTACTTGAGTAAAAGTCCAATAAATTGAGAATATTATATGGCTTTTCCAATAGCACACATATATAAACCTGAGACACCAATGTAATCCAAAAAGCTCTGCTGGAGGGATAATATTGGTTGATGCGTGATTTTGAAATAGGCATATCATACATGTCATACTCACTTTGTTATATACTTACAGCTCTTCTATAAAAGCATGCAAAGCAAACCTTTGATCAACTTGCTTGCTAGGTTTGCTTGGATGTTTGTAAACAATAGGTAGGCGGAGTGTCAGTCTGTTTTGTATATACTGGAATTTGATTAGACAATAAAAATTGACATGCAATGAAGTTAATGTTTATTGTCCAATCAAATTTCAGTATATAATAAACAGACTGAAACAGACTACCTACCTTTTGTTTACAAACATCCAAACAAACATAGCAAGCAAGTTGATCAAAGGTTTGCTTTGCATGCTCTTATAGAAGAGCTGTAAAACAGATGTTTTATTCACATGACATGACTTCATAATGATTTTTGGGTTTAACAAAGCTTTAGCAACTGTGACTGATATCAGTATCATCACAGATGGCTGATATAGAACAATTGTCATTGATTGTATTACACATAAATTTTTTTGTATTTACTTCTATAAAAGTAAATAATAAATACCAGTATGTATTTTGCTTATTCATTTTCAATAATATACAGCTTCATTATTTTCAATAATACACAGCATTAAATTATTGTGAAGCAGTTAATTTTGATTGTTGTTTCCAAAAAATACTCTATCCCCTCAAACATTTCTAAGCTAAATTTTTGGCCCTTTTTAATCTTTATTTGGATTCAATTAATAATTTTTCTTAACCATGTTGGGTAACACCATTCAGTTTTAAAAGTTTCGTTACATAACATATAGGAATTCAAAGAGAAAAGGTTTGAGATAACTGTTGTTGAATAGTACAGACATCAACTACAAATCATTTGGACTTTACTTCCACCTCCAATCCTAAATATTTTTTTTATTTAAATTTTTTTCTGTTAAAATTGAAAACCAAAAAAAATGTAGTCCTTGATTTCAATATATTTATCTGTGTTTTTTAAATAAATAAGAAGGTTTTTGCACAGAAAAAAATCAAAATATTACAAAGTAATATTTCCTTATCGACTTACGTTGACATTTTTTGGCAAATTTGATAATAACAGAAGAATGGTAGTAAAATGGTTTGACAATTTCTTCCCAAATCTCTGCCACATCTGTTATAATTAAAATATTCTTCTCACTATCCCTCTTCTGAAAAAAAAGTTGAGATTAAGTGATGTCAATTTTTTTATCAACTTAAATTGTTATTTTGTCAGCAAGATTAGTCTCTGGATCAAATTCATTTATAACATCCAATTTTTCTTGGTTTCCTCTGATTGTGCTATTGAGACTTCAAAAAAAGGCAACAACGTTTTGCAGCAAAAAAAAGCAATGCTTATGCTCTTGGTCAAGAAGTTCTTGATAAAACAAATCATCACAGACATACTAGAAGTAAGTTTTCTTTACTTTTTTAAACAAGAATCCATGTTCTTTTTTATGCATTTTCATTTCTCAGAAACTTGTGGGGATAAACATGTAATATGACACAAATACAATTATCTTGTACTATCAAATTGAATTGAAATGTCAGACTTAAATTATGACTCACCACTGGCCCATGAAAATGCCTTTTTTAACCTGGAGCAGGATATATATACAGGTGGATATCCACAGTCATTCAATCGTATAAAATTTTGTGCATTTAACAATTGACTTACAGTTATCTGAATACTTTTCAAATCTTTATCACAATCTTCAATCCATTTTATTGTCTCCTCATAATCTGCTCTACACACAGGTTTAAACACAGACATCTGCTTGGCTATCTTCTGTGGGGAAGAGCCATCTTCTTCATTACTTTTATTATGTGGTCTCTTGATCTGAACAGATTCAGGAGAATCTATTTCAGTTTTCACTACAGAATTACTACTCAAGTCTTCTAATGAAAACCCTACTCTGTCATCCCCTTCTGTTCTTGTCCCTGATTGGTTTTTAACTTCTAATGAGATCGCATATTTGACTGCATTTGGCTGTCTTCCAATTCTACTTCCTTCAAATAAAAAAGAAAAGTAATCAAGAGTCACAGATATCCAGTTGAAATCATACTATAGAATAGCTCTTTGATACAGAAGGTAATAAAATGCTTCGCTGGGGCGCAGCTTGATACGACCGCAGAGGTCGAACCCTGAACAGTTGGGGCAAGTATGGACACAACATTCAAGCTTGATACAGCTCTGAATTTGGATTGTTATTAAATATTTGACACAGCATAGGTTTCTGACACAGAAAGAATGTGGTCTAAGAACTTGAATTTTTTTAATTTACCTATTATGGTCCAATGTCCAAAATCAAAATACATGGTTAGATTCAGCATATCAAAGAATCCAAAGAATTCAATTTTTGATGAAATCAAACAAATTTTAATTTTGGACCCTTTTGACCTCAATATGAACCAATTTGATGACGGGGCCCAAAAATCAAAATACATGGTTAGATTCAGCTTATCAAAGAATCCAAAGAATTCAATTTTTGATGAAATCAAACAAAGTTTAATTTTGGACCCTTTCGACCTCAATGTGGACCAATTTGATGACGGGGCCCAAAAATCAAAATACATATTTAGATTCAGCATATCAAAGAATCCAAAGAATTTAATTTTTGATGAAATCAAACAAAGTTTAATTTTGGACCCTTTTGACCTCAATATGAACCAATTTGATAGCGGGGCCCACAAATAAAAAATCTAAATTCATGGTTAGATTCAGCATATCAAAGAACCCCATATATTCAATTTTTGTTGAAATAAAAAAAAGTTTAATTTTGGACCCCGACTTGGACAAACTTGAAAACTGGGCCCATAATCAAAAATCTAAACACATGTTTAGATTCAGCAAATCAAAGAACCCCAAGAATTCAATTTTTGCTAAAATCAAACTAAGTTTAATTTTGGACCCTTTGGACCTTAATGTAGACCAATTTAAAAGACGGGACTTAAAATTAAAAATCTAAATACACGGTTAGATTTGGAATATCAAAGAACCCCAATAATTCAATTTTTGATGAAATCAAACAAAGTTTAATTTGGTCCCTTTTGACCTCAATATGAACCAATTTGATAGCGGGTCCCACAAATAAAAAATCTAAATACATGGTTAGATTCAGCATATCAAAGAACCTCATATATTCAATTTTTGTTGAAATCAAACAAAGTTTAATTTTGGACCCCAATTTGGACCAACTTGAAAACTGGGCCCATAATCAAAAATCTAAATACATGTTTAGATTCAGCATATCAAAGAACCCCATATATTCAATTTTTGTTGAAATCAAACAAAGTTTAAATACTGGACCCTATCTTGGACCAACTTGAAAACTGGGCCCATAATCAAAAATCTAAACACATGTTTAGATTCAGCATATCAAAGAACCCCAAGAATTCAATTTTTGTAAAAATCAAACTAAGTTTAATTTTGGACCCTTTGGACCTTAATGTAGACCAAATTAAATAAAATGCTCCGCAGGGCGCAGCTTGATACGACCGCAGAGGTCGAACCCTGAACAGTTGGGGCAAGTATGGACACAACATTCAAGCTTGATACAGCTTTGCATTTGGATTGTGATTAAATATTTGACACAGCATAGGTTTCTGACACAGAATGAATGTGGTCTAAGAACTTAAAAATTTTAAATTGGACATTCACCTATTATGGTCCAATATCCAAAATCTAAATACATGGTTAGATTCAGCATATCAAAGAACCCCAATATATTCAATTTTTGTTGAAATCAAACAAAGTTTAATTTTGGACCCCGATTTGGACCAACTTCAAAACTGGGCCCATAATCAAAAAACTAAATACATGTTAAGATTCAGCATATCAAAGAACCCTAAGAATTCAATTTCTGTTAAAATCAAACTAAGTTTAATTTTGGACCCTTTGGACCTTAATGTAGACCAATTTGAAAACGGAACCAAAAATTAAGAATCTAAATACACGGTTAGATTCGGCATATCAAAGAACCCCAATAATTCAATTTTTGATGAAATCAAACAAAGTTTAATTTTGGACCCTTTGGACCTCAATGTGGACCAATTTAAAAACGGGGCCCAAAATCCAAAAACTAAATACACGGTTAGATTCAGCATATTAAAGAACCCCAAGAATTCAATTTTTGATGAAATCAAACAAAGTTTAATTTTGGTCCCTTTTGACCTCAATATGAACCAATTTGATAGCGGGTCCCACAAATAAAAAATCTAAATACATGGTTAGATTCAGCATATCAAAGAACCTCATATATTCAATTTTTGTTGAAATCAAACAAAGTTTAATTTTGGACCCCAATTTGGACCAACTTGAAAACTGGGCCCATAATCAAAAATCTAAATACATGTTTAGATTCAGCATATCAAAGAACCCCATATATTCAATTTTTGTTGAAATCAAACAAAGTTTAAATACTGGACCCTATCTTGGACCAACTTGAAAACTGGGCCCATAATCAAAAATCTAAACACATGTTTAGATTCAGCATATCAAAGAACCCCAAGAATTCAATTTTTGTTAAAATCAAACTAAGTTTAATTTTGGACCCTTTGGACCTTAATGTAGACCAAATTAAATAAAATGCTCCGCAGGGCGCAGCTTGATACGACCGCAGAGGTCGAACCCTGAACAGTTGGGGCAAGTATGGACACAACATTCAAGCTTGATACAGCTTTGCATTTGGATTGTGATTAAATATTTGACACAGCATAGGTTTCTGACACAGAATGAAAGTTTAATTTTGGACCCCAATTTGGACCAACTTGAAAACTGGGCCCATAATCAAAAATCTAAATACATGTTTAGATTCAGCATATCAAAGAACCCCATATATTCAATTTCTGTTGAAATCAAACAAAGTTTAAATACTGGACCCTATCTTGGACCAACTTGAAAACTGGGCCCATAATCAAAAATCTAAACACATGTTTAGATTCAGCATATCAAAGAACCCCAAGAATTCAATTTTTGTTAAAATCAAGCTAAGTTTAATTTTGGACCCTTTGGACCTTAATGTAGACCAAATTAAATAAAATGCTCCGCAGGGCGCAGCTTGATACAACCGCAGAGGTCGAACCCTGAACAGTTGGGGCAAGTATGGACACAACATTCAAGCTTGATACAGCTTTGCATTTGGATTGTGATTAAATATTTGACACAGCATAGGTTTCTGACACAGAATGAATGTGGTCTAAGAACTTAAAAATTTTAAATTGGACATTCACCTATTATGGTCCAATATCCAAAATCTAAATACATGGTTAGATTCAGCATATCAAAGAACCCCAAGAATTCAATTTTTGATGAAATCAAACAAAGTTTAATTTTGGACCCTTTTGACCTCAATGTGGACAAATTTGATAACGGGGCCCAAAAATCAAAAATCTAAATACATGGTTAGATTCAGCATATCAAAGAACCCCATATATTCAATTTTTGTTGAAATCAAACAAAGTTTAATTTTGGACCCCGATTTGGACCAACTTCAAAACTGGGCCCATAATCAAAAAACTAAATACATGTTAAGATTCAGCATATCAAAGAACCCTAAGAATTCAATTTCTGTTAAAATCAAACTAAGTTTAATTTTGGACCCTTTGGACCTTAATGTAGACCAATTTGAAAACGGAACCAAAAATTAAGAATCTAAATACACGGTTAGATTCGGCATATCAAAGAACCCCAATAATTCAATTTTTGATGAAATCAAACAAAGTTTAATTTTGGACCCTTTGGACCTCAATGTGGACCAATTTAAAAACGGGGCCCAAAATCCAAAAACTAAATACACGGTTAGATTCAGCATATTAAAGAACCCCAAGAATTCAAGAATAAAACCCCATTGAAATTGGTCAAGAAATAAGCAATTTATACGAAGTATCTTCTTTTGCACAATACTGTGCAATTAAATATTTCTTGCTATTGCGCAATACTGTACAATTGACAATTTCTTGCTATTGCGCAATATTGTGCTATTGGATATTTCTTGCTATTGCGCAATACTGTGCAATTGAAGATTTCTTGCTATTGCGCAATACTGTGCAATTGAAGATTTCTTGCTATTGTGCAATACTGTGCAATTGAAAATTTCTTGCTATTGCACAATACTTATTATATAATAATTTACACATCCTGTTTGGTGTGTATCTCCTACCATATCATTATTATTTGCTTTTAAATATAAATCAGAAATAACCAACTTAAAATGGAAAATTTTAAGAGAAAAAAAAAGGAAAAAAAGAAAAAAAAGGAAAAAAAAAAAAAAAATCCCCCCCCCCAAATTTTTTGAACCCCCTTATGATTCATCATCCCCAAACTCAATCCCAGCCTTCCCTTTGTGGTATGGTACCTTGCAGTACAATTTCAGAGAGATCCATACACTTGAACACAAGTTATTGTCTGGAAACTAGAAAAATGCTTATTTTTGGCCCCTTTTTGGCCCCAAATTCCTAAACAATTAGGGCAATTACCCCCAAACTCAAACCCAGCTTTCCCTTTGTGATATGGAACCTTGTAGTACAATATCAGAAAGATCCATACACTTACACACAAGTTATTGTCCTGAAACTAGAAAAATGCTTGTTTTTTGCCCCTTTTTGGCCCCTAATTCCTAAAATATTGAGGCAATTACCCCCATCATCAATCCCAGCCTTCCCTTTGTGGCATGGTACCTTGCAGTACAATTTCAGAGAGATCCATACACTTGAACACAAGTTATTGTCTGGAAACTAGAAAAATGCTTATTTTTGGCCCCTTTTTGGCCCCCAATTCTTAAACGTTTCAGCAATTACCCCCAAACTCAATTCCAGCTTTTCCTTTGTGATATGGAACCTTGTAGTACAATTTCAGAAAGATCAATGCACTTACACACAAGTTATTGTCATGAAACTAGAAAAATGCTTGTTTTTTTGCCCCTTTTTTTGCCCCTAATTCCTAACATTTTGAGGCAATTACCCCCAAAATCAATCCCAGCATTCCTTTTGTGATATGGAACCTTGTGGTACAATGTCAGAGAGATCCATACACTAACACACAAGTTATGTCTGGAAGTTACAAAAATGCTTATTTTTGGCCCCTTTTTGGCCCCTAATTCCTTTACTGTTGGTACCATAACCCCCAATTCAATCCCAACCTTCCTTTTGTGGTATTGAACCTTGTAGTAAAATTTCATAGAGATCCATTCACTTAAACTAAAGTTAGAGTGCGAAAACCAATGTGTCTTCGGACGACGCCGGACGACACCAGACGACGACGACGACGACGACGACGACGACGACGACGCCAACGTCATACCAATATACGACCACAAAAATTTTTTTGCGGTCGTATAAAAACGGGACCCAAAATTAAAAATCTAAATACACGGTTAGATTTGGAATATCAAAGAACCCCAATAATTCAATTTTAGATGAAATCAAACAAAGTTTAATTTTGGACCCTTTTGACCTCAATATGAACCAATTTGATAGCAGGGCCCACAAATAAAAAATCTAAATACATGGTTAGATTCAGCATATCAAAGAACCCCATATATTCAATTTTTGTTGAAATCAAACAAAGTTTAATTTTGGACCCCAATTCGGACCAACTTGAAAACAGGGCCAAAAATCAAAAATCTAAATACATGTTTAGATTCAGCATATCAAAGAACCTCATATATTCAATTTTTGCTAAAATCAAACAAAGTTTAATTTTGGACCCTTTGGACCTTAATGTAGACCAATTTGAAAACTGGACCCAAAATTAAAAATCTAAATACACTGTTAGATTCGGCATAACAAATAAATAAATGTGATCAAAGATTTTACAAATCTAATGCGCCATACTGTGCAATTAAAGATTACTTCTTGAAATTTTTCAATATTTGAAATTTGAAAAAAAAAATAATATTTGAAGAATAATTCTTTTTAATTTCTGAAATCTGAAATGAGAAAAAATTGACCCCCCACAATTTTTTTTTATTCCCCCCCCCCCCCCCACCCCACCTTTTTTCCCCCAAAAAATTCTTTCCCTCAAGATATGGTCATAATCTCAATTCAAATTTCCAATGGAGTTGGCAACCATAATTACCCATTTAAATTTACCATAGTGCTAACTTTATCTATTATATGGATTTTTTTGTAAAAAAAAAAGATGCAACATTTGCAGATATTTTTACTGGTCTTCCTTTATAAATATGCATTTCTTTAAACATAATTTAAAAGCAGTGTAAGGGAAGTAACCAAAGCGTTGTATTTGGATTACCTCCCTTACACTGTTTTAAATTATCTTTATTGTTCATTAACCATTACTTTATACATAATTTAAAAGCAGTGTAAGGGAGATAATTTCAATGATGTATTTGATTTATCTCCCTTACACTGCTTTAAATTATGTTTTGTACTAAAGTATTTGTTCATTAACCAGGACAACCTTGTTTTTCCCCCTTTTTTGCCCTTAATTCCTAAACGGTTTGAGCCATAACCCCCCAAAGCAAATCCTAACCATCCCTTTGTGGTATGGAAACTTGTAGTATAATTTCAGAGAGATCCATACACTGTTGCACAGTTATTGTCTGGAAACTAGAAAATGCTTATTTTTGGCCCCTTTTTGGCCCCTAATTCCTTAACTGTTGGTACCATAACCCCCAAAATCAATCCCAACCTTCCTTTTGTGATATTTAACCTTATGGTCAAATTTCAAAAAGATCCATTCACTTAAACTAAAGTTAGAGTGCGAAAACCAATGTGTCTTCGGACGATGACGCCGGACGACGACGACGACGACGACGACGCCAACGTCATACCAATATATATTTTCTATAAAAATGATCAAAATGGAATATTTGGATACAGAAATAATCTATTCCCATAGCCATAAAAAATTTATTGTAGCAAAAAAATTTTAATTTGATTTCATGTTATATATAAATTATAGTATAATGACCACAAACATAATGAATTATTTCAAACAAAGAAATTATAGTAATATAAAAATTTGGTTGGTTCAAACATCTTTATACATGTATCTTGAAGATACATACTCCTGAAACATGTTTGTGAGCACCCTACCCTCCCCTAGCCTCATAAAGAATATAAATTACCTTCTATAGACATGCCAGCATCAACACATTTCTTATATCTACAACTTTTACACAGATTTCTGGTGGAGGTATTAATTTCACATGACCCTGTTTTTGAACATCTGTATTTACCAAGCTCCCTCTCCTTTGCCATTCTTCTAAAGAATCCCTGAAAATATATACAGTAAGTGTGAATGCTCTTACACGCGCAACTCTCATTCTAACATGACGTTCTTCAAACGCTTTGAGTACACACCCGTGGTAAAATATGAATATATTGTTTGGGCTGTTCTGAACGTACTCCCGCGTCATATGCTTTTTTATGAATGAGCTACCTGACGTCATAGAACGATGACGTAAGAATATAAGCATTTTACGGGAAAATACACGCTTGTGAAACCGAAAATCATCACAACAAGGAAATGTAAACAAACGATGCTAAAATGTGTTATATAAGCCATTTTTTGTATACATATAAGACATATAAGTACAATTATCATTTAGATTCATCCAAACCTATCTAAATATGTTATTGTAAAAAGTTTAAGCATGTCATTTATTCAGTTTGCTTGGTCTTTTACATCAATTTAATAGTGCGTTTACTTATGGGAACGGCAAATAATGCCTTCATCTAGAGCGCTTCGATCCAAAACAATTGCCTTATTTGTCCTATTAGAATCGAAATAATTCATGGGGGCTTGAATATATCGTGATTTTACCACGGGCTGTCCCTTTATGCCGATATTTTACCCCTCGCTATCGCTCATGGTAAAATATTTGTCATAAAGGGCCAACCCTTGGTAAAATCACGATATATTCAAGCCCCCGTGAATTATTTCTTAATTATATTCTAAACAGCTGATGCATTTTTTCTTTTAACACCTTCATTCAGTTCTACAGGAATTTCTCCAAAGGCCTCAAATCAAATTTTATTTTATGATTAAAGAATTTAGTAAACACGCTCACATAACTCAAATACCCACATCAATAGATAAAAGTCCTGCCTTCAAGAAATAATTTCTCATTTCTTATAAGGCCAACTAAATCAATTACCGGTAGTAGATTTTCATCCAACTTGTAGAAAAAATTGAGGCGGGTGGTAGGGTTTATTTTTTTATTTTTATTTCCTCTAAAACCTTTTTGAAATGAGTTCTTCCTGTGTTAGGGTAATAAAATTATCTTATATAAAGAATTCTGCATACTTTATCAACTATTTCCAAATTCTGAAATAATAATTCTGATTGGCAACCACTATTCTAATTGCTCAAGAAACCAATTTTCAGTCAGTAGCAAAAATGTGGAAGAATACTATCTTCTAGACTACTTGCATCAATTTTCTTTGGCTTTCTGAGCTATGTTTGTAGTGCCCATAAAATGAAGCAGTGTTTCAGGAACATCAAGGGTCTGATTGTTTGAAGTGCTAACCATCCACATCAGATTGATAAACCCCCATGAATGATATTGAAAGAGCAAGAATGACGACACAAATTAGTATGAAAAACAAGTATATTGAGTACAGAGGGAATATAGATGAAAACCAAATATGTGTTGAAAATACTAGAGCTGATGCTTTGCAGATTCTTATGCAAGATGCATCAACTGCCTAAAAACAAGAAGTGATTCAAAAGAAGTTGTTAAATGACTTTCTTGAGTGGCCTGGGTTAGAGGGTATTAAGAGGGTTTTTATCAACAAATATAATTTGGAAGTAAATCTAGTTATACATTGGCTGATGTCTGTACTCCAAGTTTTATACCATCCACCCTGAGATTACTTTAACACATTGTAGTCTCAGATCCATTGCACAAGTTTATACTACTCAAGTAATTTTGTTCATACCAATGTGTGTGATTATTCTTGCACTTTCGATATAATTCATGAGGGTTTAAGGTAAAAATTTCCTGATACAAAATCATTGTATAAATAAAGAATCCACGGTTTTCTTATCTGAAAATTTGTGATGTACCGCGATTTTTGTTCTTTTACATTGCTAATTACCTGTAACCCAAAAATTTCGAACTTTCTAACTAATCTCTCCTACTAGCAATGTAACTTGGCCATTGTAAACCAACTTAATTAACTATTCTAGTTTAACCACTCGAAGAAATATGAAAACCATGTCAATATTTGTAAAACTTATTATCAGGCCGATTACCAGTAACGGAAACGAACAAAATTATAATTTTAACGGAAGCAAACAAAAATGAAAGGCAAAATTCAGGGACATGAATAATCATAATAGTTTCTTATTTATTTGTAGATAAATGCAGTAGTCTTGAAGAAAAGTAAATTATGTCACATGATTTTAGTCATTATTGAAAGTTTCCTGTGTAAAGTAAAGTCTCTTGTCGTTTTCATCCACATCTAATGCTGCTCAGGCAATGTAAAAAAAGAGTTTTAATATTAAGTTCACCAATGGAGGACAGAAAAAAACAGTTTCAACTATTCTGCAATGTTGCCAAAGTAGATCAATTTGAGGACATTATTTTCATTTTTGTGATTAAAAAGCTTACTTTCCTTAACGGTGGCATTTTAAAATGACAATGAATTAATCAAGACTCAAACAGCCGGTGGAAAACAGGATATAAAAATGTCTGGCTAGATCAATAGTTTTTGGAAACCCTGCATACAGCATGCTAAAATAATCCTCTATATCCCTCCTTTTTATCAATAAGTTTTGAATATTTATCTCAGTTGTTATGCTAATTCAAAATGAAAGTTATAACTGACAAATATGATTCTTATATGACAAGATATTTATGTAGAAGATGTTTTAAAAAAAGTTGATATGATATTAAAGTTTTCTGTTGTAACCATTGTCCCAAAAATTGTGCAGAAAATCACCACTTTTTGGTCGATAGATTACAATCTCTGGGAGGGTCAGTGCAATTAAATGTGTGTGTTTGCTGATTTCCAAACGACAAAGAAAAGTAAAAACAGTGCACTGTGGATTAAAAAAAAAATCATTGGAATTGTTCTGAGCTTAAAATTAAGGGCTATACCAAACACATGGATTCCCTGACATCCAAACAAGAAAAAAAAAAAAAATCATGAAAAGGAACTAGAGGCTCTAAAGAGCCTTTGTCGCTCACCTTGGTCTATGTGCAGTATCAAACAAAAGACACTCTCCAACATTGTAGACGAGAATAGACCATGACAAAAACCTCTATTTTGTTGATCTTCTATTAGTGATCTCTTAGTCTGTTTAGTTTCTCTCTATCTTCTTTAGTATTTGCTCAAAACACAAAAGAGGGTAAAAAAATCCTCATTTAAGGGCAATCACTCCTATGAAGAGTGACAGTCTACTAACTATATTGGCAAAATTTGACTTTTTAATAGATCTTGCCGTGCTGATCATTTTTGTGATTTAAAGTGTTTATTTATCTATTATAATATAAATCATATAAGGCATAACGGAAAAAAAATGTTTCTCTCTAAATATCATAGTTTTCATGATAATATGCAAAAAAATGCTTCGCTGAGCGCAGCCTGATATGACCGCAGAGGTGAAACCCTAAACAGTTGGGGCAAATTTGGACACAATATTCAAGCTTGATACTGTCTGAATTTGGATTGTGATCAAATTTTTTACATAATATAGGTTTCTGACACAAAATAAATGTGGTCAAAGATCTTATAAATCCATTGCACAATACTGTGCAATTGAAGATTTCTTCTTGAAACTTTTCAAAAATTCGAAATTTTAAAAATTTTGAAAAAAAAAATATGAATTCCTTAAAAAAATTGGGAAAAAAATCCCCCCCCCCAACTTTTTAAAACCCCCTTGGAGCAATAACCCCAAAACTCAATCCCAGCCTTTCCTTTGTAGTATGGAACCTTGTAGTACAATTTCAGAGAGATCCATACACTTACACACAAGTTATTGTCTGGAAACTAGAAAAATACTTGTTTTTGGCCCCTAATTCCTGCATGTTAGGGGCAATTAACCCCAAATTCAATCCCAGCCTTCCCTTTGTTATATGGAACCTTGTGGTACAATGTCTGAGAGATCCATACACTTACACACAAGTTATTGTCTGGAAACTAGAAAAATGCTTCTTTTTGGCCCCTTTTTGGCCCTTAATTCCTAAACTATTGACCCCATAACCCCTAAAATGAATCCCAACCTTCTACTTGTGGTATTAAACATTGTGGTACCATTTCAGAGCAATGGAAATACTTATACACAAGTGATTATCCTGAAACTAGAAAAATGCTTGTTTTGGGCCCCTAATTCCTAAACGGTTGGGACCATCATCCCCAAAATCAATCCCAACCTTCCTTTTGTGGTATTGAACCTTCTTAAAAAATTTCATAGAGATCCATTCACTTAAACTAAAGTTATTGTCCGGAAACCAATGTGTCTTCGGATGACGACGCAGACGACGACGATGACATCATACCATTATACAATCCCAAAAAATTTTTTGCGGTCGTATAAAAATGAAAAAAAATGAAAAAATCTGTCATTTATGGGCAATAACTCCTATAAGAATTTGTCTAACTGTTTTGACGTATGTGGACAATTGGTAGAGCTCATTATTCTGAACATTTTTGCTCCTTTCAGATTTTCTCTATTTATAATGGTTCAAAAAATAATAGATAAAACTGGCATTTTACCCCTATGTTCTATTTTTAGCCATGTCAGCCATGTTGGTTGGTAGGCGGGCTCATTGGACACATTTCTTAAACTAAATACCCTAATGATGATTGTGGCCAAGTTTGGTTAAATTTGTCTCAGTAGTTTCAGAGGAGAAGATTTTTGTAAAAGATTACAAAAATTTACAAAAACTTGTTAAAAATTGACTATAAAAAGGGCAATAACTCCTCAAGGGGTCAATTGACTATTTTAGTCATGTTGACTTATTTGTAGATCTTACTTTGATGTACATTATTGCTGTTTAGTTTATCTCTATCTATAATAATATTAAAGATAATACCCAATAAAATGCTCTGCTGGGGCACAGCTTGATACGACCGCAGAGGTCAAACCCTGAACAGTTGGGGCAAGTATGGACACAACATTCAAGCTTGATACAGCACTGAATTTGGGTTGTGATTAAATATTTGACACAGCATAGGTTTCTGACACAGAATGAATGTGGTCTAACAACTTAAAAATTTTTAATTTACCTATTCAAACCATATCATTATTATTTGCTTTTATATATAAATCAGAAATAACCAATTTAAAATGGAAAATTTTAAAGAAAAAAAAATCCCTCCACTAAATTTTTTGAACCCCCTTATGATTCATCACCCCCAAACTCAATCCCAGCCTTCCCTTTGTGGTATGGTACCTTGCAGTACAATTTCAGAGAGATCCATACACTTGAACACAAGTTATTGTCTGGAAACTAGAAAAATGCTTGTTTTAAGGCCCCTTTTTGGCCCCAAATTCCTAAACGTTTAGGGCAATCACCCCAAAACTCAAACCCAGCTTTCCTTTTGTGATATGGAACCTTGTAGTACAATTTCATAAAGATCCATACACTTACACACAAGTGATTGTCCTGAAACTAGAATAAAATGCTCCGCAGGGCGCAGCTTGATACGACCGCAGAGGTCGAACCCTGAACAGTTGGGGGAAGTATGGACACAACATTCAAGCTTGATACAGCTTTGGATTTGGATTGTGATTAAATATTTGATACAGCATAGGTTTCTAACACAGATTGAATGTGGTCTAAGAACTTAAAAATTTTAAATTGGACATTCACCTATTATGGTCCAATATCCAAAATCTAAATACATGGTTAGATTCAGCATATCAAAGAACCCCATATATTCAATTTTTGTTGAAATCAAACAAAGTTTAATTTTGGACCCCAATTTGGACCAACTTGAAAACTGGGCCCATAATCAAAAATCTAAATACATGTTTAGATTCAGCATATCAAAGAACCCTAAGAATTCAATTTTTGTTAAAATCAAACTAAGTTTAATTTTGGACCCTTTGGACCTTAATGTAGACCAATTTGAAAACGGAACCAAAAATTAAGAATCTAAATACACGGTTAGATTCGGCATATCAAAGAACCCCAATAATTCAATTTTTGATGAAATCAAACAAAGTTTAATTTTGGACCCTTTTGACCTCAATGTGGACAAAGTTGATAACGGGGCCCAAAAATCAAAAATCTAAATACATGGTTAGATTCAGCATATCAAAGAACCCCATATATTCAATTTTTGTTGAAATCAAACAAAGTTTAATTTTGGACCCCGATTTGGACCAACTTGAAAACTGGGCCCATAATCAAAAATCTAAATACATGTTTAGATTCAGCATATCAAAGAACCCTAAGAATTCAATTTTTTTAAAAATCAAACTAAGTTTAATTTTGGACCCTTTGGACCTTAATGTAGACCAATTTGAAAACGGAACCAAAAATTAAGAATCTAAATAAACGGTTAGATTCGGCATATCAAAGAACCCCAATAATTCAATTTTTGATGAAATCAAACAAAGATTAATTTTGGACCCTTTTGACCTCAATGTGGACAAAGTTGATAACGGGGCCCAAAAATCATAAATCTAAATACATGGTTAGATTCAGCATATCAAAGAACCCCATATATTTAATTTTTGTTGAAATCAAACAAAGTTTAATTTTGGACCCCGATTTGCACCAACTTGAAAACTGGGCCCATAATCAAAAATCTGAATACATGTTTAGATTCAGCATATCAAAGAACCCTAAGAATTCAATTTTTGTTAAAATCAAACTAAGTTTAATTTTGGACCCTTTGGACCTTAATGTAGACCAATTTGAAAACGGAACCAAAAATTAAGAATCTAAATACACGGTTAGATTCGGCATATCAAAGAACCCCAATAATTCAATTTTTGATGAAATCAAACAAAGTTTAATTTTGGACCCTTTTGACCTCAATGTGGACAAAGTTGATAACGGGGCCCAAAAATCAAAAATCTAAATACATGGTTAGATTCAGCATATCAAAGAACCCCATATATTCAATTTTTGTTGAAATCAAACAAAGTTTAATTTTGGACCCCGATTTGGACCAACTTGAAAACTGGGCCCATAATCAAAAATCTAAATACATGTTTAGATTCAGCATATCAAAGAACCCTAAGAATTCAATTTTTGTTAAAATCAAACTAAGTTTAATTTTGGACCCTTTGGACCTTAATGTAGACCAATTTGAAAACGGAACCAAAATTTAAGAATCTAAATACACAGTTAGATTCGGCATATCAAAGAACCCCAATAATTCAATTTTTGATGAAATCAAACAAAGTTTAATTTTGGACCCTTTGGACCTCAATGTGGACCAATTTAAAAACGGGACCCAAAATCCAAAAACTAAATACACGGTTAGATTCAGCATATTTAAGAACCCCATGAAATCAAGAATAAAACCCCATTGAAATTGGTCAAGAAATAAGCAATTTATAGGAAGTATCTTCTTTTGCACAATCCTGTGCTATTAAATATTTCTTGCTATTGCGCAATACTGTACAATTGACAATTTCTTGCTATTGCACAATATTGTGCTATTGGATATTTCTTGCTATTGCGCAATACTGTGCAATTGAAGATTTCTTGCTATTGCGCAATACTGTGCAATTGAAGATTTCTTGCTATTGTGCAATACTGTGCAATTGAAAATTTCTTGCTATTGCACAATACTTATTATATAATAATTTACACATCCTGTTTGGTGTGTATCTCCTACCATATCATTATTATTTGATTTTAAATATAAATCAGAAATAACCAACTTAAAATGGAAAATTTTAAAAGAAACAAAAAAGGAAAAAAAGAAAAAAAAGGAAAAAAAAATAAATCCCCCCCCAAAATTTTTTGAACCCCCATTATGATTCATCACCCCCAAACTCTATCCCAGCCTTCCCTTTGTGGTATGGTACCTGGCAGTACAATTTCAGAGAGATCCATCACTTGAACACAAGTTATTGTCTGGAAACTAGAAAAAAATGTGTTTTTTGGCCCCTTTTTGGCCCCAAATTCCTAAACGTTTAGGGCAATTACCCTCAAACTCAAACCCAGCTTTCCCTTTGTGATATGGAACCTTGTAGTACAATTTCAGAAAGATCCATACACTAACACACAAGTTATTGTCATGAAACTAGAAAAATGCTTGTTTTTTGCCCCTTTTTTGGCCCCTAATTCCTAAAATTTTGAGGCAATTACCCCCAAAATCAATCGCAGCATTCCTTTAGTGATATGGAACCTTGTGGTACAATGTCAGAGAGATCCATACACTAACACACAAGTTATGTCTGGAAGTTACAAAAATGCTTATTTTTGGCCCCTAATTCCTTTACTGTTATTACCATAACCCCCAAAATCAATCCCAACCTTCCTTTTGTGGTATTGAACCTTGTGGTAAAATTTCATAAAGATCCATTCACTTAAACTAACGTTAGAGTGCGAAAACCAATGTGTCTTCGGACGACGCCAGTTGACGCCGGGCGACGACGACGCCAACGTCATACCAATATACGACCACACAAATTTTTTTGCGGTCGTATAAAAATGCTTGTTTTTTGCCCCTTTTTGGCCCCTAATTCCTAAAATTTTGAGGCAATTACCCCCAAAATCAATCCCAGCCTTCCCTTTGTGGTATGGTACCTTGCAGTACAATTTCAGAGAGATCCATACACTTGAACACAAGTTATTGTCTGGAAACTAGAAAAATGATATTTTTGGCCCCTTTTTGGCCCCTTATTCCTAAACGTTTTGAGCAATTACCCCCAAACTCAATTCCAGCTTTCCCTTTGTGATATGGAACCTTGTAGTTCAATTTCAGAAAAATCCATATACTTAAACACAAGTTATTATCATGAAACTAGAAAAATGCTTGTTTTTTGCCCCTTTTTTGGACTCTAATTCCTAAAATTTTGCGGCAATTACCCCCAAAATCAATCCCAGCATTTCCTTTGTGATATGGAACCTTGTGGTACAATGTCAGAGAGATCCATACACTAACACACAAGTTATGTCTGGAAGTTATAAAAATTTGTAAGGGTTCCGCGGAACCCAGTGTCTCGCCTACTTTTTCTGTTAATCGCAGGCTCAACAAAAATGAGGAAGTAAATCAATAAAAATATTCCTCTTGATACTATCTTTTGATTGTAAGAAGCTTCTGTCCAAGTTTGGTAAAAATCCAGGATAACTTATGAATCTAATAAATGTTTAAAAGCTTTAACTGCAGACTGAATGTAATGTTAACTGATAGAAAACAAAAATTTCCTTCTAGATACTAGCATTTGATCATAAACAAGCTTCTGTCCAAGTTTGGTACAAATCCAAAATAGTATAAGAAAGTTATTAAAAATTTTAAAAACTTTAACCACAGAGTGAATGTGTTGTTTCCTGGCAGAAAATCTAAGTCCATTTAAAAGTAAAATACGGAAAAAATAAATTTATTTTTTTACAAAATTTCCTTCTAGATACTAGCTTTTGATCATAAACAAGCTTCTGTTCAAGTTTGGTACAAATCCAAAATAGTATAAGAAAGTTATTAAAATTTTAAAAACTTTAACCACAGAGTGAATGTGTTGTTTCCTGGCAGAAAATCTAAGTCCATTTAAAAGTAAAATAAGGAAAAAATGGATTTTTTTTTTTACAAAATTTACTTCTGGATACTATCTCATGATCATAAACAAGCTTCTGTCCAAGTTTGGTAGAAACCCAGGATAGTTTAAGAAAGTAATTAAAATTTTAAAAACTTTAACCACAGAGTGAATGTAATATTTCCCGGCAGAAAAACTAAGTCCATTTATAAGTAAAATACGGAAAAAATGGAATTTTATTTTTACAAAATTTACTTCTGGATACCATCTTATGATCATAAACAAGCTTCTGTCCAAGTTTGGTAGAAATCCAGGATAGTTTAAGAAAGTTATTAAAATTTCAAAAACTTTAACCACAGAGTGAATATTTGTGGACGCCGCCGCCGCCGACGACGACGCCGACGCCGACGGAATGTAGGATCGCTATGTCTCGCTTTTTCGACTAAAGTCGAAGGCTCGACAAAAATGCTTATTTTTGGCCCCTTTTTGGCCCCTTATTCCTTAACTGTTGGTACCATAACCCCCAAAATCAATCCCAACCTTCCTTTTGTGGTATTGAACCTTATGGTAAAATTTCATGGAGATCGTATAAAAACTGCAAAATTTTCTTAAAATTACCAACTCAGGGGCATCAACCCAACAACGGGTTGTCTGATTTGTCTGAAAATTTCAGGGCAGATAGATCTAGACCTGATAACAAGTTAACCCCCCATGTCAGATTTGCTCTAAATGCTTCGGTTTCAGAGATATAAGCCAAAATCTACATTTTTCCCTTATGTTCTATTTTAAGCCATGTCGGCCATCTTGGTTGTTGGGCTGGGTCATTTGACACATTTTTTAAACTAGATACCCCAATGATGATTGTGGCCAAGTTTGGTTAAATTTGGCCCAATAGTTTCAGAGGAGAAGATTTTTGTAAAAGTTAACGGACGACGATGGACGACGGACGCAAAGTGATGAGAAAAGCTCAATTGGAACAGGTAAGTGTATAAGCATATCTACATTTATTCATCCTTACCTTACACCCCTCACAGGTTAGAGCTCCAAAATGGAATCCTGATGATGGAGCACTACAAACACGACAAGGAATATCTCCTACATTTTCTTTTTTAACATCACTTCCTGAAAAACAGATAAAGTTATGTGTCACATCATCAGTTGTATAGATATCTGAGATTTGAATGTTACTACTTTCTAACACATACAGAACAAGCCCATACCATACAGAGAATCCCTTTTAACATTATAGAATGACAACAATTTAGGTAGTCACATTAAAAGTATATAAACTAGAAAAAAATGCGCTCCACCTGGAGCAGCTGGATACGACCGCAGAGGTTGAACTCTGAACAGTTGTGGCAAGTATGGACACAATATTCAAGCTTGATACAGCTCTGAATTTGGATAGTGATTAAATATTTGACACATTATAGATTTCTGACACAGAATAAATGTGGTCAGATAACTTAAAAATTTGAAATGGGACATTTAATCTACTTAATGATTCAATATCCAAAATCTAATTCCATGGTTAGATTCATCATATAAAAAAAAACCATGAATTCAATCAAAGTTTAATTTTGAATCCTTTGGACCTTAATACCGACTAGTTTGAAAACAGGGCCCAAAATTAAAAATCTGAATGCACAGTTAGATTCAGCATATCATAGAACCACAAGAATTCAGTTTTTGATGATATTGTGGCGATTTTGGACGATAGCAGTGCCACAAATTTTGTCGATATTGTCTATTTTTGTGGGAACTATTATTTACCTTGTGAATACTTTGTGTATAATGGAGACTTTGTGTTTTAACTTAAATATGTTTACATTGTTTTGTCTATATTTCTGCCAACTGTACTTTGTATTATAGCAGTAAATGTGTGTATTTTATTACATACATGTAGTTACCTATTGTATAATCATTTTTATATCATTTGATCCAGAATGAAAGAAAACATGTGTTTTCTTACCGGCAGCATTTGATCAAAGGTACGTTACTTTCACTTTTGTTTTTACCGGCAGTAACGGGTATTGTTATAAAAATTATGTCAAAAGAAATCGTCTAATTTTTATACTGTATTGAAGTTATATTTGTGTATGTTTTTCGAACTAGTGATAGATGTTAAAGTATTTTATATAAAGTTAATGTAGAATGAAGTTTTATTTAGATATAAGAAATCATTCCATATGATCTATTTTTGCACCGACGTTGCGCACCTTTTCAGCGGTAATAGGGTTGGAATGACGTCATTTACTTTGACGCTAATGTCAAAGATATTTGCTTTCTAAGGAAGTTTCCTTATTTGGTCATACATTTTAACCATATTTGGAATTTCATACACGCCAAACAAAACAATTGCGTAAGATTTATAGTATTTTACTTCAGTTCCAGCTTGTCCCTATCGCCTGTTAGCAGCTTAATAAAAGTGTCTGAATAAATTTGAAGGCACAGTTTTTCTAATACAGAAGTTTAAAGTTCCTGAATATTTTATAATTATTTGTTTCAGTTCCTTTAAGGGAATCTAATTGTTCCAGTTTCCGGTTTTCAAAGGAGGCATAGATAGAACCTGTGTGTTCCTTGAATGTCGCTTTTTGGTGTATCTGTTTTATAGTATTATCTGTTCGTCTAATCTATACGGAATATTGTTAATTGTTAATTGTTGATTGCTGCTTTAAGAAATTTATATCTGTTAACTCGTGTTACAGTTGTTATTAATATTATGCCAGTCTCGTAAATAAAAGTTATTACACTTGATGCGGTTTTGTGTTTAAATTCAGAACATCAACGTAAATTCTAGTGTGATACTTTATTAAATTATCTTTAAAAATACAATCCGTCTTACACACACACAAACAGGAGATTTTGCGCCAACCAAGAAACTATACTAGGCTGTTTGATGTGTCGAAAGTTTATGTAATAGGTAGTAGTAATTATCTTGAGTGTTTATATTTCCTATTAAATCATTTTGGTTCATTGTTGGTTCCTGTTGGTGTCTGTCTGTTCTTTTAAGTGAGTTAGTTGGTTAGAAAGGTTCTCACCGGTTTGCGAACACGTTACAATATCAAACAAAGTCTAATTTGGGACCCTTTGGATCTCAATGTAGACCTATTCAAAAATGTCCAAATATCCAATATAGTAATACATGGTAAAAACCTCAAACAATTCAAAACTTTAAAATTAATCCTCAATGAAATTGGTTAAAAAATTTGTATTTATTTTCAATTGAAGATTTCTTGCTGTTGTGCAATACTTGCGCAATACTTAGTAAATCTGTTTACAAACTAAATATAATAATTTACACACCCTGTTTGGTGTGTATCTCCTGCCATATCAGTATATAATGTTTCTTTATAAATTTATGTTAGAACCAGCTTACCAGTATTAGAAAAGTCTTGTTTTTGGCCCCTATTTGGCCTCTAGTTTCTTAACGATATTAAAGCCACAACCCACAAAATCGACCCCAACCTTCTGTGTGTGGTATGGAACCTTGTGGTACAATTTCATAGAGATCCATTGACTAATACTTAAGTATTTGTCCGGAAACCAGAAAAACCTTGTTCCTCCCCCCTTTTTGCCCCTTATTCCTGAACAGTTTGAGCTATAACCCCCAAAATCAAACCCTACCTTCCCTTTGTAGTATGGAACCTTGTGTTTCTATTTCATAGAGATCCATAGACTAATACTAAAGTAATTGTCCATTAACCAGAAAAACCTTTTTTCCCCTTTTTTTGCCCCAAATTCCTAAACGGTTTGCGCCATAACCCCTAAAGTCAATCCCAACCTTCCCATTGTGGTATGGAACCTTGTGGTACAATTTCATAGAGATCCATACACTTATACACAAGTTATTGTCCGGAAACTAGAAAAATGCCTTTTTTGGCCGCTTTTTGACCCCTAATTCCTATAGTTGGGACCATAACCCCCAAAATCAATCCTAACCTGTTCCGGATTGCACATGAGATGTTCCCTCTACCGCTCTCTATGTATACGACGTCACCTTTGCTGTGACGTTACTTATCTCAGAGTTCCAATACAAGTATCATTGCAAGCACACGTTCTTATTACTTAGCCTTAATTTGTGTCCGATACAACCACTCTACGATACAACCTTCCTTTTGTGCTATTGAACCTTGTGGTTAAATTTCATAGAGATCCATTCACTTATACTAAAGCTATTGTCCAGAAACCAAATGTCTTCCGATGAAGACAGAGCCATGATAGCAATATACGAATGCAAATTTTTTGCGGTCGTATTAAAACTGTGCAGAGGGATAAAAATTCATACCAACACCTTGCATTTGTATTGATATGATCCTGGATTGCTATAAAAACAAGAGGCTCTGAAGAGCCTGAATCGCTCACCTGTAATTTTTTGCTTAAATCTTTCATCAATGATTGCTTAAAAATTCCATTGAGATGTTCTTTGTATCTGTCATATTTTCTTCAAAAGCAAAGAAATACATTTTACCCCTATGTTCCATTTTAGCCATAGTGGCTATGTTTCTTGACATACAAGAAAATAAAATACAAAATTTATACTAGATACTCTGAAACTCATTCAGCCCAAGTTTGGCTGAAATTGATTCAGCAGTTTCAAAGGAGAAGATTTTTTAAAGTAAGCAAACAAGATGAACAAATTGTGAAAAATTGTCTTTAAAGGGCAATAACTCCTTAAGGACTCATTTGACAATTTTGGTCATATTAACTTATTTGTAGATCTTACTTTGCTGAACATTTTGCAGTTTACAGTTTATCTTTATCATTAATACTATTCAAGATAATAACCAAAAACTGCAAAATTTCCTTAAAGTTACCAGTTCAGTGGTAGCAACCCAACAATGGGTTATTAGATTCATCTGAATATTTCAGGGCTGATAGAACTTCACCTAATGAACACTTTTACCCCATGTCAGATTTGTTCTAACTCCTTTGTTTTTTTAGATATAAGCCAAAAACTGCATTTTACCCCTATGTTCTATTTTTAGCCATGGTGGCCATGTTTTTTGACGAAACAAAAAATAAAACACAAACTTTATTCTAGATACCCTAAGGATCATTCAGCTTAAGTTTGGTTGGAATTGGTTCAGTAGTTTCAGAGGAGAAAATTTTTTAAAGTTAGAAAACATGATAAACAAATTGTGTAAAATTGTCCTTAAAGGGCAATAACTCTTTAAGGGGTCAATTGACAATTTTGGTCATATAAAACTTATTTGTAGATCTTACTTTGCTGAACATATTTGCTGTTTTACAGTTTATCTTTATCATTAATACTATTCCAGATAATTAACCAAAAACTGCAAAATTTCCTTAAAACTACCAATTTAGTGGTAGCAACCCAACAATGGGTTATTAGATTCATCTGAAAATTTCAGGGCTGATAGAACTTTACCTGATGAACACTTTTATCCCCGTCAGATTTGCTCAAACTGCTTTGGTTTTTGAGATATAAGCCAAAAACTGCATTTTACCCCTATGTTCTATTTTTAGCCATGGCGGCCATGTTTTTTGACGAAACAGAAAATAAAACACAAACTTTATTCTAGATACCCTAAGGATCATTCAGCTTAAGTTTTGTTGGAATTGGTTCAGTAGTTTCAGAGGAGAAGATGTTTGAAATAGTTCACACCAGACAGACAACGGACGACGACGACGATGGACGCCAAGTGATGGCTAAAGCTCACAGTTCCTTCGGAATGGTGAGCTAAAAAACTGGTCATGCTGGTTATGAGAAGTTGAGGATTTAAAGAACAGATACAACATTCACTTATAACCACACACCATCCTGCCATATCTTAGCCTGCTGTATGAGAAATCAAAGAGGAACAATTCAATTATTAAATTCATGATTCAGTAACTTTTATTCAATTTCATAATCAATTTCATAACTCGACTGAGCCGTCTAAAGTAATTGGTTTTAACAATGTAAATTCCATGGGAAGTTGATTTAGTTAAGGCAATTCATGAACTGTCATTTATAAAATATATACTATTACTACCAATTTGGCCTTAGCTTCCAAATTTTTTTTATCAAACTAGACTTGATAGAAAAACACTAGTTTTGGACAATAGACAATAAGTCTTTGTGAGAATACACACATAAAATGCACATGAGTATGACCAATGTCAAGAATGATTTAAATGCTTTATAAGGAAATTTACCTGGACTATACATGTTTAGAGACAAACATTTCTGTAGACGACAGTACTGACACTGGACACGACTTTCAGCTGTCATCTGACATTTCTTATCACGTAAACAAACATATTTTGTCTTGTCATTCCTGCAAGATCTCATGAAGAATTTCTGAAATAAAAAAAAAGAAATGTTTGTTTATACATCCTTTAAATGTTTCAGACAAATGTTATTAGTCATAAATCTTCTTACATGTATATAAATATTTCATCTAGGTACATGTACTCTTTAGTCTAGACTGCAGTTGCTGAAAATTCCTAAAGTCAGAGGCCAGGTGCCTGCCAATCAAGGATTTTGGCCAACCATATATACATTTTTTTGTAGATCTACATGTATTTAAGCAACATAGCCCTGAGCACCATTGATGAGTCTTTTGTAGACGAATCGAGCATTTGGTGTACAAAATTTGAATCCTAGTATCTATGATGAGTTTATTCACAACCACTGGGTCGATGCCACTGCTGGTGGAGGTTTCTCCCCTAGGGTATCACCAGCCCAGTAGTCAGCACATCTGTGTTGACATGAATTATCATTGATATGGTCATAATTATAAATTAACTGATTATAAAACTTTGAATTTTTCTAAATACTAAGGATTATCTACCCCAGGAAAAGATAACCTTAGCTGAATTTGACAAAACCAATCAGAATTTTGGTTCCTCAATGTTCTTCAACTTCATACTGTATTTGGTCTTTCTAATTTTTTTGATTCGAGCGTCACTGATGAGTCTTTTGTAGATGAAACGCGTGTCTGGCGTACAATATTTGAATCCTGGTATCGATGATGAGTTTATTTGCAAACCATGGCTAAGTAGCTAGGACAATGCTTCAAGTACATGCACATTTGAAATGAGATCTCTTAATAATTCACTTGAGATATTATGTGGTCTCATGTTAATCTAATCAAAATACATGTAATTTAACTGTTTTTGTTACAATGTATCTATTATACAGTAATTCTTTATTTGAGTGCTTGTCCAGGGTTTTTTGTATGTTCAATAATGTATGTTTTGTTAATCTACTGATCCAGATTAAATAGAGGTAGGGTTAAAATAAAAATGAACAGGTCATAACCCTGCCACATTTCAACTAAGGAACCTCACCAGTAGTTGTCATATATGTCATTTCTTCATATTTTTTCTTCTAATTTGGAGAATATGATGTTAATCTTTGGTTGTTCTGTTAAATTGACAACTTTATAGATTTGGGACAATATTGAGCTTGGCATATATTTTATAAACAGGTGTCTATTGTTGAAGACTATATGCTTACCTCTAGATGTCTTTTTGGTTATTTTTTGAGTTCTCTCATAAATGAGTGCATACCCCTCATTTCCTTTTACACATATCTCTAATTACAAAATATAGATTTACCTTACAAGCCTCACAAGCAAAGGCTCCACAGTAAAATCCAGCTGCTTTATCACCACAAACCTGGCAAATCATATCACCTTTCATCCACTTTTTACCTTGCTTCTTTTGTGGTGTTACATCACTATTTTCTTGGTTCATTTTAGAATCACTAGAAGAAACTTTGTCTACACCAACATTTTCTAAAGGAAATGATGTCTTTAAAATCTCAGACTCTATCAAATCATCCAAATCATCATCATTTATTGTTTGTGTTGAAGTCATCTGGGAATTAGACATTGTCTCCAAATCAAAATTTGTTGATGAGACTTGATTGTCATACTGGTTCCCAGGTGATAAATGGTGAAGGGATATATCCTTGACTAAACCAGGTCTACTGACTGCAGGGTTGTCCATTACCTCCAATTTCAATTCTAATAAGTTTATATTCCTTGCACTATTCTTTGTACTATGTATACAGCTAATGGGAATAAGATTTTTCTGTTCTTGATTATCTTCATGAAGATGTTCTTTAAGAGACTGAAGAGAAAATTTTTCAATAAAATGAGAACCTTCCTTGAACAGTTTTTCTTTAAGGATATCTGCATATGTTGTTTCTGAGGTTTTCTGTTTCTGATTCACGGTCAAATTTATTGCTTCATCACTTCTTTCGTATCGAGTGATTTTTTCTTTTGGAAAAGAGGATCTATAATCCTTGAAGCTATCTAAAGGAACATTTCCATCACTGTAACCATTTACTAGAATATTGTGGCAATTGTTTACTGTGATACTACTTTGTCCACAATAATCAAAGAGATCATCAGGTTCAGACTTTATAAAAGATGTATCAACTGAAGTTCTATTCAACTGATGAATATGATTCAATTTTAGAGTTCTCTTTTCCTGTAAACTTTCAAAACTACTCCAACCAATGGATCTACTGTCATCAGAAAAAGTCAGACCATTTGGTTGTTTAAGGGTTGTGTAAAATTTAGTAGTTTCATTATCAGTAGTGCCATTCAATAATTTTGTGGTAAAACTATTTGAACTGTCCTCTACAAATCCTCCGTTATTCAAAGGCAAGAAAGACCTTGAATCATGAAAATTGATGTCAATGGAAGACGGTGAATCTAAGAAACTATCGCTATTAAAATATTGTGCCCAATCCTCAGATCCTGATTCCTCTCTTACCCTTTTCTTGAAAAGCTTCTTTGGTGCATAAAAAGCTTGATTTAGCTCTTCATCCATAGCTGATGAAGAGCCTGTTTATCTTAACATCTGTTAGTTTATTCATCTAAAAGAAAAGAAAATTACATGTATTTATTTGGGTTTACTTTCAGTGCATAGAAAAATATACTGAAAGATTTGTGACAATGTATTTTGCTACTTAAATTCATATACTAAGTATGTAATATGGTGTGAAAGTTTTCTTAATAAGACTTAATAATTAGGTATTTTTTGTCCTACATTAACAGCTTATGAATTTGCAAATAAAAAGTTATAACACATTGTGGAAAGATATGTTGTCACCTGATTATTATTATTTCGTCCCCGATTTGGTAAAACTTATCGTTTCCAAACAAAGTAATATAAATACATGTAAGCTTGCTACTTTCACAAGTATTAAAAATAAAACATGTTTATAAAGGAGTAAATAAGGCCCTTATTTGGCCCAAATATTACTGAAATTTAAAAGTTATCATACATATTCTTAAATTTGCCTTAATTAGACTATAAGGTATTCAGAAAAGAAAAAAAAATCACTTTCCTTGTTTCTCATCAAATTTTAAGTTTATTTTAGATTGGCAAAGTATGTGCGCAACCAAGAAACAACTTTATATTTGATGAGATTTTGTCAATAGTTATAATAAAGCTTCTCTTAAATTATTTTGTTGTTTCTGGCTGCCCACGATGATTCCACAATGGAAATAACGATGGAAAACTGCATGAATTCTGTATTTTTCATGAAAACAATACATATTATGACATAATTGAGATGTCATCAAATATAAAATCTCATGTTTTTCATTTATATTTCTTGACTCTATGCATTTTTTGAATATCATCAAAAGGAGTTCCTGTTTAAAAAAATTTGAGATAAACTATAAATTTCTGACGAAAACTAGTACCGGAACAGTACCTTATTTGTCTGCTATTCCTGACTATCATACTAAATTTTGATGCCCCAGAGCAAAAATGATTATTGTATGATGTCAATAGGCCAAGTGTTGCAATACTTCAGGTCTGACATGAGTCATAGAATCCCAACAATACCAATAAGGTTTATGCTGTTAAATGCCAGATTTCTAACTGATCATTTCTAACCAGTGAAATAAAAAGAAAATTTTACTAGAGCAGAACATATAAATATTGGGAGTCCTGGTATTGGTCCTATACTGCGTGCATTGACAAACATCTTCTTTCAAAAACAAACAAAAAATGTATCAATACACTGGTATAAATCAAACACCAGATTTAGTACATGTAATTGAAAATATTGTGTGAAAATATTTATATATTATAAAGTATATACATGTATATAAGTTAACTACAATTTCTATCATTTTTGGTTATTCAATTTATCTGTTTACACAAGCTTAAGGTTAGTAAAGTTCTGAAAACATGTTTGTTGTCATACAAATGTAGGCCCACTGAACTATTGGAAAGTCATAACAAGAGGCTGTCGAGTGACAGCAAACAGGATTTTCCTGCAGAGGTGGAACCCTGAACAGTTGAGCAAGTATGGACACAACATTTAAGCTTAAAACAGCTCTGAATTTGGATTGTGATTGAATATTTAAAATAGATTATTATCTAATTAATAATGAAAATGATATTTGCAAATCTCAACCCCAAACAGGATCATGTAAAAATTAAACATTAACACATACAACAAAAATGAAATACCACATAATAACTATTACATCTACCTTCAGAACACACATGACTTAAAAAAAAATAGTTATAAAGAAATTATGATGTTATCATTACTGGTTCATGGAATAAGTTTGAGTTATTTCCCTTTGAACAGAAATATGGTTTAACATAGTACGTTAACATTAGATATGATTTAATATAGTTCTCTAAAATTAGATATGATGTAACACAATGTATATCTATTTTCAAATTATAATCAATTATAATCAATAGTTCCAAATATTTTTTCTTTCATTTGTACCAATCTAATATAGATCTGCAGCTTATCTATCAAAGTCAACAAATTTTTCTACACAATGTAATGTAATGAAATATATCCTTTAATAATAAAATGCTCCGCTGGGCGCAGCTTGATACGACCGCAGAGGTCGAACCCTGAACAGTTGGGGCAAGTATGGACACAACATTCAAGCATGATACAGCACTGAATTTGGATTGTGATTAAATATTTGACACAGCATAGGTTTCTGACAGAATGAATGTGGTCTAAGAACTTAAAAAATTTTAATTTACCTATTCAAACCATATCATTATTATTTGCTTTTAGATATATATAAATCAGAAATAACCAATTTAAAATGGAAAATTTTAAAGAAAAAAAAAAGGAAAAAAATGAAAAAAATATCCCTCCCCCAAATTTTTTGAACCCCCTTATGATTCATCACCCCCAAAATTCAATCCCAGCCTTCCCTTTGTGGTATGGTACCTGGCAGTACAATTTCAGAGAGATCCATACACTTGAACACAAGTTATTGTCTGGAAACTAGAAAAATGTTTGTTTTTAGGCCCCTTTTTGGCCCCAAATTCGTAAACGTTTAGGGCAATTATCCCCAAACTCAAACCAAGCTTTCCCTTTGTGATATGGAACCTTGTAGTACAATTTCAGAGAGATCCATACACTTACACACAAGTTATTGTCCTGAAACTAGAACGGTTGTATATATATGCTTGTTTTTTGCCCCTTTTTGGCCCCTAATTCCTAAAATTTTGAGGCAATTACCCCCAAAATCAATCCCAGCCTTCCCTTTGACGCATGGTACCTTGCAGTACAATTTCAGAGAGATCCATACAATTGAACAAAAGTTATTATCTGGAAACTAGAAAAATGCTTATTTTTGGCCCCTTATTCCTAAACTTTTTGGGCAAATAAACCCAAACTCAATTCCAGCTTTCCCTTTGTGATATGGAACCTTGTAGTACAATTTCAGAAAGATCCATACACTTACACACAAGTTATTGTCATAAAACTAGAAAAATGCTTGTTTTTTGCCCCTTTTTGGCCCCTAATTCCTAAAATTTTGAGGCAATTACCCCCATAATCAATCCCAGCATTCCCTTTGTGATATGGAACCTTGTGGTACAATGTCAGAGAGATCCATACACTAACACACAAGTTATGTCTGGAAGTTACAAAAATGCTTATTTTTGGCCCCTTATTCCTTAACTGTTGGTACCATAACCCCCAAAATCAATCCAAACCTTCCTTTTGTGGTATTGAACCTTATGGTAAAATTTCATAGAGATCAATTCACTTAAACTAAAGTTAGAGTGCGAAAACTAATGTGTCTTCGGATGACGACAGCAATGATGACGCCAACGTCATACCAATATACGACCGCAAAATTTGTTTGCGGTCGTATAAAAATAGATTATTATCTAATCAAAGGAGTTCACTTCATAAAAAAACAAGAGTGCACACGCTGAAATGTCTCGCCTTCTTTACTAATCATTGATATTATGTTGATAGTCCTAAATATAAAGCTTTATTACAACTGTCACATAAACTTAACATTAACCAAGTAAACTAAACATTGACCAATGAACCATGAAAATGAGGTCAAGGTCAGATGAACCATGCTAGGCAGGCATGTACAGCTAACAATTCTTCCATACAACAAATAGAGTTGACCTATTGCTTATAGTTTAAGAAAAACAGACCAAAACACAAAAACTTAACACTGAGCAATGAACCTTGAAAATGAGGTCAAGGTCAAATAAAACCTGCGTGACTGCCAAATAGATCATAAAATATTTCCATACACCAAATATAGTTGAACTATTGCATATAGTATAAGAAAAACAGACCAAAACACAAAAACTTAACTATAACCACTGAACCATGAAAATGAGGTCAAGGTCAGATGACACCTGCCAGTTGGACATGTACACCTTACAGTCCTTCCATACACCGAATATACTAGACCTATTGCTTATAGTATCTGAGATATGGACTTGACCACCAAAACTTAACCTTGTTCATTGATCCATGAAATGAGGTCGAGGTCAAGTGGAAACTGTCTGAAGGGCATGAGGACCTTGCAAGGTACGCACATACCAAATATAGTTGAACTATTGCACATAGTATTAGAAAAAAAGACCAAAACTCAAAAACTTAACTTTGACCACTGAACCATGAAAATAAGGTCAAGGTCAGATGACACCTGCCCGCTAGACATGTACACCTTACAATCATTCCATACACCAAATATAGTAGACCTATGGCATACAGTATAAGAAAAACAGACCAAAACACAAAAACTTAACTATAACCACTGAACCATGAAAATGAGGTCAAGGTCAGATGACACCTGCCAGTTGGACATGTACACCTTACAGTCCTTCCATACACCGAATATACTAGACCTATTGCTTATAGTATCTGAGATATGGACTTGACCACCAAAACTTAACCTTGTTCATTGATCCATGAAATGAGGTCGAGGTCAAGTGGAAACTGTCTGACGGGCATGAGGACCTTGCAAGGTACGCACATACCAAATATAGTTGAACTATTGCACATAGTACTAGAAAAAAAGACCAAAACTCAAAAACTTAACTTTGACCACTGAACCATGAAAATGAGGTCAAGGTCAGATGACCCCTGCCCGCTAGACATGTACACCTTACAATCATTCCATACACCAAATATAGTAGACCTATGGCATACAGTATAAGAAATACAGACCAAAACACAAAAACTTAACTATAACCACTGAACCATGAAAATGAGGCCAAGGTCAGATGACACCTGCCAGTTGGACATGTACACCTTACAGTCCTTCCATACACCGAATATACTAGACCTATTGCTTATAGTATCTGAGATATGGACTTGACCACCAAAACTTAACCTTGTTCACTGATCCATGAAATGAGGTCGAGGTCAAGTAAAAACTGTCTGACGGGCATGAGGACCTTGCAAGGTACGCACATACCAAATATAGTTATCTTATTACTTATAATAAGAGAGAATCTAACATTACAAAAAATCTTAACTTTTTTTTCAAGTAGTCACTGAACCATGAAAATGAGGTCAAGGACATTGGACATGTGACTGACGGAAACTTCGTAACATGAGGCATCCATATACAAAGTATGAAGCATCCAGACCTTCCACCTTCTAAAATATAAAGCTTTTAAGAAGTTAGCTAACGCCGCCGCCGCCGCCGCCGCCGTAGCCGCCGCCGCCGCCGCCGCCGCCGGATCGCTATCCCTATGTCGAGCTTTCTGCGACAAAAGTCGCAGGCTCGACAAAAATTATATATATAGTATTCAGAAAATTAGTTTATACAGAATAACAAACAAACCGACCACAAAATTCTTCAAACAATTTATCAAAGAAAAGAAAAATAAAAACTGCTTCGCTGAGTGCAGCTGGATACGCCCCAAGAGGTCCAACCCTGAACAGTTGGGGCAAAAATGGACACAATATTCAAGCTTGATACAGGTCTGAATTTGGATTGTAATTAAATATTTGACATATTATAGGTTTCTGAATAAATGTAGTTAAAGAACTTGAAATTGGTTATATGAATTGAATTTATATTCAATTAAAAGATTTCTTGCTGTTGTGCAATACACTGTGCTGTTGCGCAATACTTAGTAAATCTGTTGTCAGACTATAAACAAATAAAGTTCAATTAATTCTCAATGTCATATTAGAAATTTATGAAAATGTAAAGGGAGCTTACATCAATGGATATAAACAATTCACCAAAGTTTCATGAGAATTGCTGACAGCATTTTAGAGTTATTGTTCGAAAACTGGGAAATCCCCCCTTTTTTAAGGAATAAAACCCCATAACTCAGAAATGATTTATGAAAAATTTATAAAATTCTAAGCGGAGCTTACATCAATAGATATAAACAATTCACCAAAGTTTCATAAGAACTGCTGAAGTTATTGTCTGAAAACTGGAAAATCCCCCCTTTTTTAATGAATAAAACCCCACAACTCAGAAATGATAAATGAAAAATTTATAAAATTCTAAATGGAGCTTACATCAATAGATATAAACAATTCACCAAAGATTCATAAGAACTGCTGAAAGCATTTTTGATTTTTTGTCTGAAAACTGGAAAATCCCCCTTTTTTTATGAATAAAACCCTGTAACTCGGAAACGTATAATCTAAAATATATAAAATCGAAAGGGAGCTCATGTCAATAGAAATAAACAATTCACCACAATTTCTTGCAAGTTGGTGAAAGCATTCTTGAGTTAATGTCCGAAAACTGGAAAATCCCCTTTTTTTTTAATGAATAAAACCCCATAACTCGGAAACGTAAAATCTAAAATTTATAAAAAACGAAAGGGAGCTCACGTCAATAGATATAAACAACTCACCAAAGTTTTATGTAAAATTGATTAAAGCGTTTTTGAGTTAATGTCCGACATGTTGACGGCGGACGGACAGACGGACGGACAATGGCATACCATAATATGTCCCGCAAATGGGCGTATAAAAAATCCAAATGAAATGTCATGTATCATAAATACAATGTCTTTTAAAAATCTTTTAAAAAATGAGTTATTTCCCTTTGTACAGAAATGGATTAATTCATCAAAAATTCAATTCTTCGGAATTGGCTGAACAACCAGAAAAGCTAAAATCGTGAAAATTAAACTTGACCTTCATTTAGTCACAGGAAACAACATATCTAAATTTGAAAAAAATTCTTCAAAGCATTTTCATGTAAATGAACGGACACTGTTTGGCAGCCACCCACCCGCCCGCCCGCTGTACATCCCCAAATCAATAACCGATTTTTACTTTGAAAATCCGGTTAAAAACCATTTTATTAATTAAGGACATATCTGAATCATTTTATGGAACATTTGAAGAGGGTTTTAGGAATAAATGTAAAAAAAAATTTTTTTTTAATTTTCAATAGAGATAAAAAAGGACAAAAATGATGGCAAAATGTTAGCCAGGTATAGGCAATTATGTATCCCTGGTACCCAGAGCTTCTTTTTCATTGTGATTTCCACTCCATGGGGTCATGGGAGAAATCAGTTCACTGGTACATAAAGGTAACATACATGTATGAGAAAGTTCCATAACGGCACAAATTCGTATAAGATGAGTACATTAGAAAATTCAATGGCTAAGGAGATTCTTAATATAGCAAATACACGTATCCTTATATTTGGAAATGATCTGTAAATATTCTTTTTAGACGGTACAATGTAAAAACAAACAACACAAAAGACAAAAGCATTACAATATAAACATGATTTATAAACAGTTGACACAGACATATGTCTTAACATTATGTTATTTTGATAGTACATGTATAATCATGACAATGCAAATGTTAAAATTAAAATGGCAATACTTTAACGTGTACACTATACAAAACATTTGAAGTCAATGAACCAGGCCAAATAACCTCCATGAAAATGAGAAATACTGATGCTGATACATGTACAACTGGATACCATAAGGGGTTCCTTTTAATCTGACCTCACACAAACTTCACCATGTAAACTATGTAAAAGTTTCAAAATCAATGAACCATGATGAGGGGGTGGGCCATATAATATTCCATGGTAATGAGACATACAAATGCAAATACAACTGCATACCATGCATACCAAATATTATTGACTTACCATTAGTGGTTCATCTTAAACTGAATTAATAACTTTAACATGTAAAGTAAACAAAAGTTTCAAAGACAATAAACCACAACTAAGAGGGCTAGGCCAAATAATCTCCATGGAAATGAGATGTGCCAATGCTATTACAACTGCATACCGATTTCATTTACATATACCTACCACTAGTGGTTCCCGTAAAACTTAACTAATCACAAACCAATTGACACAGTCAACGGAAACAGCACACCTAAATCTTGCTTTCTTGATTTCATGTAGGGGACAAAATATATTTATACAAAAAGATGATTGACATTTCACAATACAATGGTACGTACATGTACATAAGCATAACTCCAAATTGCAAGCTAAAAAGCATAGAAAATATTTTATGTCTAGCAAGCAAGAACCCAAATGAAGCAAAGCAAAGAAAGATCTGCTATAAACAGTACCTTTAAATAATATCTAACATTCTGCTTCACATGACAGACAATTTAAGTGGTGCAGTCATGACATAAAAAGGTAAATACTGTAAGTTCATTTACATGTGCATTTGTTATCTTGAATCCCTGATGACCATGATTCAAAATGGAAGATTAATTGAAAGTTGTTGTTAGTAATCATTACTGAAATAAATGCAATTGCATTTTTTTGTTTATGCAATTTTTTTTTGAAATAAATTAAAACATGACAAAAGTGTCCGAATTCACATAAGCCAATAAATATATTTGCTGCAAAGTACCAGGTAATTGGGCTATATTTGGATTTTGATGAAATTTGTACACATTTAGAACTTGTTGAACTGCATCTGAATATAGAAAAAATGATACATTTGTACATGAAGCATTTAAAATACTAGAGATATGATAAATTAAAATTTATGAAAAGGTCTATGAATCTATAAAATGAACATAAAAAGCAGCAAAATAATGTATTTTTTATGCCCCTAGGTGTAAAAAAAATTGGTAAAAATATGATTCACATTTTGGTTTTGCTCATTGTTGAAGGCTATATGGAGACCTACATGTACATGTATAGTTGCTTACACCCACATCATTTGGATTTTAATCGATAGTTGTCTCATTACCAATCATACATGTACCATACATGTATACATCTCCTAATCTTTATACATGTACATGTATTGTAGGAGTGATTTCTCCAATTAGGAGAATATTGACAATTTTAATCATGTTGAATAATATAAAATAGAGAGAAACTTAATAAACAACTAAAGAGATCAGCATCACAAGATCTACATTTAGTTTTCAAGAAAACATGAAAAAAATGCTAAAATTTGTCAAAAAGCATCCTTTATGTACATGTATAAGCAGTAACTCCTGTATGGATGAGCTTACCAATTATACATGTAGTCTAAATAGAAAGTATACATGGTACATGTAGGTACAAATCTAAATCTTGACAATCTTTTCTCTATCTTTATCATTTTAATTTGCATTTACACTTATGTTAAATTTTTAACCCATATTTTTTGCATGGCAGACATACATCCACTTTATTTGAACTTTGGTGGATAGTTGTCTCATTGGTAATAATACCACATCTCCTTATTTTTATATAAGGCCAAAAAAAAATGTATGTCTGTTTACGGTTACACGACCGACCCTACTTTTGAGCGCCGACCCTAAGTTATTTTATTTCCGTCGTAAAGTGAAAGGAAAGGCACTGAGCTCAATACACTGAAGGTTGAAAAACCCTGCATTTCATCAACTCGCGAAAACATGTTGAAAAAATAATAGAACTTACTCACAATAAAAAACAAAATTTGAATCCTCAAAACAAGGAGACCGTTTGCAAATATTATAGACAAGAAATGCCCTTTGGCATAAATTTTGTATGCATTTTCTGAGATTTCTTATTCAGACATATGAACATGATGAACCAACAATGATTGGCGGTCTAGTGGTTAAGACCGATGGCTACAGTGCTGAAGGTCCCGGGTTCAATCCTGACTCGAGGTGCTGTAAATTTCAGTACATTAGAAGGGTGATTTTCATTCTCCCACACACATCTCTGGTACCCATACAGGAGTTTAAACTAGAATGAGTACTTTAGGGGCCTTGATTGGTCGAAGTGGCCCCCCGACTTTGACCAGGAGATCAATCTTCAGATATCTCTTCGGTTTGTTTGTTCCCGCAGAGTTGTCCGGTGGTTCTCTCCAAGTACTTCGGCTTCCTCCACTATAATAACAGACTTCCTGGTGTCCTAAAACTCCTGTGGTGTTGGGTTGGGAATTTGTCCTTGGTGGTTGGTTGTACATATGTTAGTGACACATCTCCATTAATCCTGTTAGGGAGTGTTCATAGATACCACTGTACACTCACAGCTTTCGAGGGGAGCTCTGAATAACGGAGGTATCAACCCGAACATACATTGGCAACGAGGAAGGCATTTCTGCCAAACCATTATTATTACAATATTTTAGATTTATATGCTTTGAAGGTCAACAGACTTACAATATAGAAGTAGTTCACTGTATAAAAGATTCCCTGAGAATTCCAGTCCACCAGACAGATAGAGCACAAAATTTACGGGCATACATGTACATTTTTTGGAAAATTTTGTTCGAGAAATAACTAACCTGGAAATAAATGACTTTCATTATAGGCATAAAATTTGTCATCTAATAGTAAGAAAATATATCGTTTTGTTAATTTAGTTAACAAAGACTGTCTTCAAAGTTAAAAAAAAATCGGTCAGTAGGGGTTGTAATCAGTAAGATAAATATATCCACTGAGGTACAAGGTCGAAGAAAAAGTAGGTCAATGCAAGTGAATAAAAATCAGTATTTACCGCTGTGACACTACAGAATATAAAATTTAAGCAACTATACTACACATTGCTGACTTTATGACATTGAGTGAAAAAGGTTGTCTTTAGAATGCACCACAAAGTGTTTGTTTACACGTTCTCTGCTGTCACGTTCCAAATCATCGGAAGTCTTTCTGACGTATTTTGATACCACCATAAACCAAAGCGTATCTCTAAATGCAACGTTCCTTAAAATCATGAATATATTGAAATAAACTCGAAATGTTGCCACGCCCAATGTTTGTATAGTGACACTATACAAATCCTTGCCACGCCGAAGAAAATTACTACCCGAACTACAAAAACGGAGGCTTAATCTTTATATGAAATTTCAGGACCGAAGAATTCCAGTTTACCAGATAGATAGAGCACATTTTTTGGAAAATTTAGTTGAGAAATTCAGTTCCAAAATCTTGTTGCCTTTTAGGGAACGACCATTTAACTTCAAAAGGGGGAGGACTGGAGGGGTTGTGGTTTTTACCTAAAAAAATATCCCGATCCCCAATTTGATGAAAAAATATATTGTGGTCAAGCAGATGACAAAAAAAAGAATATTCTGAATCCAGATTTTCCCCATACCTTATAGTGTTAAATTTTGAAAAAAATAATTTGATTGATAGCGCCGAAAAACTACAAAAAAACATACCCCTCTTGAAGTTAAATGGTTTCTCCCTTATGGGCCCTGTAATTTGGGAAAGAAAAATATTCTATTCTAATTCTATATACAGACAGAGACATATAATACATTATGTATTATATGTCTCTGATACAGATAGGCAACTTCAACAGTGGTCAGCGAAATTCAAGTCAACGTTCGCGGCCCGCGTGACTTTCACACTTTCTCTGTTGCAGTCCATGGGCAGGATAAGACTTTAAAAAGGGATAGACCCCTAAATGATAAACTGAGTGTCCATAAATGACTGTAAACCTATTTGGTTTATCGTTAGGGGTCCAATCGGAAATAAACTACTAAGGAAAGGGGAGGATGTTCGTATTTTTTATCGACAGTATCTGGGTTTATCCGAGACAGTATAATAGTCCCAGTGTTTATCAACCAAAATTTGTATTGGGGCTGAGATCAAAAATGTATATCATTGACTTGAAAGATTATGATACTAATTAAGAGTCAAACAATTTTTTGGATGAAATTAATATTTGTCAGGAAGATGTGCTAAAGAAACTTAATAAATTAAAGACAGATAAATCTGCAGGACCTGATGGTCTACATCCGAAAGTTTTATATGAAGTAA